CCCCCCCACACGGTACAAGCTTATAACAGCCAATGCCCTTCCCTTCTCCAGTTTTGCTTTGTTTTAAAATGCTTACAAGAAATGCCCTTTCTGTTTTGGAAGGTGGAAGGGTGGATTGATGTCTTTTAAGTGCTTTTAGGACCAAACTAGCAATGAAGTTTGTGTGGCTGGCCCTGGCAAGATTTTTCTCAAAACAAACCAACAGTGTGAAGGGTTGATATAAGAAAGGACTTCCCTCGGGATAGGAAGGGAGGAGAGAGAGTTTTAACACTTATGTAGTCCTGCCTAGAACCATCCTGCTGCCACAGATACCACCAATTCAGCTGGGAGAAAAGTCCCTGGTGCCACGTTTCATCTAGTTTGGCCCTTTATTTAAATTCCTTATATTTCTGGCAAGAAAGGCATGGGTATAGATGAATAAGTATACATACACTGTATAGCTGTATCTGCACCTGATTACTTGAATGACCAGTGCCCTGTAGAATTGTCCCTTTCCCTAGGATCTAGTGCCTTCTGTACTCTGGAGATAAGAGGCCTGCATTTAGTTGTTCTGGAGATTGCAAATCTCTCGGGAACTGGCTCCTCCTGTTACATAGGGCTGTTGTGGTAATTGCTCCCATCCTCTGCTTGCCTTGGATTGGCTCCCACATCCCATTGGCAGCTCCAGCCACAGGAAATGTAAGCAGAAACAAAATTATTTGGGATGTGTAGATCACAAAAGCATTTGTCACATAAGAGGCACAAAGTTATATAGGTAACCAAGTGTACATTTGTGCCTCTCTTGTATCTCAGATTTCAAAGTCCTTCAGTTTCCAGTGCAAATTTCTGGCATGCAGACTCTTTCATAAATTCAGAAGAAGGTCAAACCTTCACAGTTCACATGCTGTATTCAAAGACTTCTTTAGATTGGATCCATCAAACATCCCTGGTGCCTGATTTTGGATATTCCATACAGATTCAGCAAAATAAGTACGAATAAATGTGATGGAAGCATGATCTAAATTTAACTTCAAGCTTTTTCTCAGTGTTAATAGACTTTGCAGCCCAAGTCATACTGCCACCTCTCCAAACTTCTATTCCCTTCTGTGTCACTCACTCCCCACCCCCTGGATTCCTAGTGCTTGGATTGTCCTTACAAATTAAATTTCAACAATGGAAGGTGACAAAGGAGAGGCTGTGTCTCAAATTGATGATTCATGACTTTGCAGTTTCCCCCAAGGTCCCACACTAGAGACATTCAAAAAGAAACTGGACAGCCGTCTGTTTGGGATGGCATAACTTGGTGTCCTGCAACAGTGGCAGGTTGGACCTGATGGCCTCCATGGCCCCTTCCAACTCTGAAGATGGCTTACAAACATTCATTAAACCAAGAACACATTCCAACAGAACTGACAAGTTTAGAACAAGAACAGCATTTGTTTAAAAAAAAAAAAAGCTTTTTCACCTGCTCCAAAATGCTATCAATGCTTTGAACATGAGGTGCTCCACAGAGTGATTGCAGTAAATGCCCTGATTCTCATGACTAATGTTCTCAGATGGATAGACCTAACCTGTGCACTGTGTACAGTGGCTGGTCTCATGAGGACTCCCTACAAAAGTACACTTAAACTGAACAGAATACAGAGATCATGGTGATTGCATTGATGTTAAGCTGAGGACTTGGGGACTGTATGCAGCAACCCCCCCCCCCCATGGGGCCAAGGTAAAATCACCCACTACTAACAATTGAAGGTGCTCCACCAGGCCACTCAAGCTAAACCCAGCATTATGGCTAGATAGTGTAGCTGTGCTGTCAGAACTGTTTGGTCCCCTCTCAGAATCCTCTGAAGAGTCCAAAAGTCCAGCAGGGAGAATCCCTTGTCATTTTACAGATATAGAACATCTGCCAGTGTGATGGAAGCCACCTTGGACCTGTACCCAGCCCTGATTTAAAGTTGAGGAAGGTGCTTCCTTTGGATTGAACCTGTACTTACATCATCACCTCGCACTCTTCACTCTTCCCAAAAGGGAATGCAAAAAGCCATAGGGCTGGCAGGGGGAACTTTGTCTTCCCATGGCATTGTGTTTGGATAGGGCCTGACTCCTAGATTGGGCTCAGCTGTGGCATGTAAATAGCTAAGCAGTGCTCAGTCACTTGCAGTTTTCTGTTCATGTTCAAGGAAACAAAGCTAAAACAATCCAAACAATTGCAACATGGATGCTTTTCTGAAGTGACTTCTTCAGGGTTGGAATCTGTTGCAACTAGACTCAGGTTTACCATCTCTGGGCACCTTCACTGGCAGTTTCAAAATCAAAAGTAATATGTAGACTGGTTCTGCAGATGATGAACTCTCATGGAATAAAATTCCTAACCATCCAAAACAGTTCAGCTAATGTAGTGTACTTCTCAGAAGTACATTTGTAATGCTTTTCAGGATGTAAGTGTTCATTCATCCACATGGTGATCCTGTCCAGACAGATGAGGTGAGTAAGTAGAGGTGATCCATGCCACATCATTCCCTTTTTGGTCACTTGCTGTTCTGCTTTCCTGTCTGCCCTCCAAGCTGGTGCTCTGTCCAGGGACTGGGGGGCATATTGTGTTCAACTTATGAAGCTGGTTGTGGCAAATCTGCAATGAAAGCTCCATGATGCTGGGTGTTCCTTCCTTTCAGGGACTTGCTAGAGTACACATTTTCTGGCTCAACTTAAGCCCTGGCACTAATGATCCTTCTCTCTTTGCCAAAGCTTGGATGGCTCCCCCACATCCCATGTCAGCAGCAGTGTCTGTGGCTGTCTCTGAAACAATGGGGTTCTTTTGCTCTGCTCTTTGCCTCTGGGTTGTGATTTTTGCTTTCATACTCTTCTTTTGCATACTGCCTAGGGAATCGACCGCTCTCACTCCTGGGTCAACTCAGCCTATGCCCCTGGAGGCCCCAAGTCTGTGCTCCGTAGGAATCATCCGAACTCCAACTCGGACCTGAAGCAGGTGCCTTTCCTCTCTTATACACTGTGCTTCCCTTTCCTTATCATGCTTGTTGGACTGAAGCTACAGTAGCAGCCAGAATAAAGTGAAAGCATAACATTTTCCAATAGGCTGGAGTGGGAGGCATAAGCAACATTTTAATGAAATACAAGCTTTGTTACTTGACCAGCCTTCAAAACCGTCAACTTCTCCTTTGCCACTTCGAAAGAATTACATGCATTAGGCTTTAATGTGCTTTTCCCAAAGAAAGCCCCAACTGTGTGAGAGGGTACAAAGGAGATCTCTCTGTCTGACATGGAAAACACAGTTTTGGTACTATTCAGGTGCTATTCAGGTCTGACAGTGTCAGGGAACCGGTTTGCTTGCAAAAGTCAGCTCAAGGCCTTATTTGCTCTCCTCCTGCAACGTACCCTTGCATTTGCTTGAAGGCAGCACAGTAGATCATCTGGGGTAGGTACAATGCTGCAGCCAGTTCCCTTGGTGATAGTGAGAAGCCTGGTGCTGTCAAGCCTCCTAATGATGACCAAGGGATCAGGTTGCTTTTATGGGATCACTCAAGTGACCTTTTTATTTCTTAATTTATAAATGCATTTGCTACTTCTCAGCCAAAGCTGTCCTCAAGCTGATTTGCAAAGAAGAAAGTAAATGATTCACATGGATTAATTTGACTACTTCTCAGCAGCCTCTGCACATCCGGCCATTTAAATGGTGAGGAAGGTCCTGCCTTGCGACTCCTCTGCTTTGATTGCAAGGAGTCATCTGCCCAGTCTTTGTGGGAGTGCAGCTGAATGCACTTACTGAGCCCTCAGAACTCAACTGCTGAAGGTCTAAGCAGCAGCCAGGCATGGGGTGCTTGGCAGCAGGGTTTCCTTGCACACCAGCATCCCCCTTTCCACTTTCACCCTGCATGCAAACAGGCAAATGTCCACATAGGGGTGCTGTGCCACAAATTTTCCTTGCTTGTAGAGTGCTCTTTTCTCCCTCCGAGCATTCTGAAGTGGCTGACTTTCCATCTCATGACAGCTGTGTGCACAGAAGGCACTAACCTTGCATGTGTAGATTGTCAGTAGCCAAACTTTTAAGCAGGTCTCAAGTCACTTTAAGTCCAAAATAGGTAAGTGCACCCCATAGAACACATGTGCCTGTGCCTTTTATGTATCCAGCTGAGCACCAGCAGCATGAGAGAAGGCAGGCAGAAGTAGAAGCCTGGAGGAAAGCAGGGAGGGCCGGTGCTTCCATGTTTTTAAGGCCAGCGTGTTGTGGGGGTAAGAACGCTGGACTCCAGATCGGGGAACTCCAGGTTCTAGTCCCCACTCAGCCATGGAGCTCCCTGGGTGACTTTGCTCCAGTCACAGACCCTCAGCCTAGCCAACCTCACAGGGTTGTTGGTGCACAGATAAAATGGAAAGGAGGATCATGTAAACCACCTTGAGTTCCTTGAAAGAAAAAAGGTGGGAAATAAATATAGCAACTTTCTGAAAACGCTTCTCCTTTGTAAAGTGCCTAGCCATACACGGTCATTGAGTGCTTTGATGTCTTTACATAGATGTATGGAACTCTAAGTTTCAAGTGTGTAGGTCATTATCCTGCTTTGGTTCCTACATCTGATTAGGCAGGAGAGAAAAAAACATAGCATTTGTGTGTTGAGATATTCGAGTATTTGAGATTTTGTTTGGGATATTGAAAGTATTCCACATTTTTACAGTAGTCCTTGCAACAGGTTTGCTAGCCTTCTTGCTATCTTATTACACCTCCACCTCCCCACCCCCACACCAGACACTATTAGGACACTTACTTTTGAATGAAGAAGTCGGAATTTTCACACAGGGAACCCTCTGGGCAACAGTTTGGCTGGCTACCCAATCACAGCTATTTCTTTATCTGTCACTTCACAAAGCAAGTTCCCTTTTGCCTCCTGCCCAGCTTAGAGCTATCTTCCAGGACAATGCCAAACTGAATAGTCTTGCAGGTCACACTTTTTGGGCTCCTTTGAATGTGAACAACCCTCAGGGTTGTCAGCTCCCCTCTTTCTGCAGTGGGGCCTTGCAGAAAATTGAAGCTTTCCTTCAGTTTTTAACTTAGCCATGGTTTAGCATTATTTCCAAACTTGGGCAGCTTACTTAGTCCACTTAGCTAGTTTCAATACCATGGTTCAAGATGCTGATTTTTTTTTTTTCAGTAAATTGTGGTTAGGACAAACCACAATTCAGAGCAGGGTTGCGCAGTATGGCACTCCAGATGTTGCTGCCTATGGCTCCCCTGATACCTCACAATTGGCTATCTTGGCTAGAGCAAAATCCTTTGGAGGGCCATAAGTTGCCCGCTTCACAGTTTAGTCAAACATGAAGGGTTTCAAATGCTTCTGATTTCTTCCTTGTGGCTGTGCTGTCGGGGGAAAGGGGAGGAGGGAGTGCATGAGCCTCAAAGTCAGCCTTTTTTAGCATTGCATCTGAGCAAGATTTGTGAAGGAGCAAGTTTCTAATGCTGATAGGGAAGTGGAAACTGCCAAGTTTGACGTGTTCCTCTAATTTTTTTTTTCCAAATTGAAGTGAACTACAGTAAAAGAGGTGGAAAGGAAGAACAACCACCTTCAGGTGGTGTATGTGTTCAGGGTAACCCGTTCCTTTACAGGCCTGTCTTTCTCCCAATCCCTGATGCCTGAACAGATTGATGTGGGTCTTTCTGGAAAAGCGAGAATGAGTGGTGCTTGCCACCCTTCTACTGCCTTTGCCATAGTTCACTTCATGCTGTTTTAGTGTGATTCTGTTCTGATTCACGCACTTGATAGTTGGAGGAGAGGCTCTTCATTCCTCCCAAGTCCCAGAAATTGTGTCACCTGGTTGCCATCCCACTCAGCTACCAGTTGCAGCTTTGGTAAGATCATGGCTATGCCTCCGGCAAGGGCCAGCCAAGCAAGGACAAGGGGCAAAGATGCACTGTATCTGGTTTGCTCAGTGGACAAGTAGGCACTCGAGGATACATTTCTTTCCCTTCCCTCCAAGCCCAAGGAAGCTGTTCTAGACCTAGTCTGATGGCAGTAATAGACTCAATGCGGGCAAAGAAATTGAAGCTTAATCTAAACAAGACACAAGTGCTTCAGTTTATTCAAAAGTCAGACTGAATAGCATTGGAGTCCCCTGAAGACTCAGGCTCATGGTTAGGGTGTACTCCTGCACTTGTCCCTGGATTTGGATGCTCAGAAACAGCAGAGACCAAGAATGGGTTTGCACAGTTGCGGCTGATACACCAACTGCACCCATTCCCAGAGATTGCTGATCTGGCCACAGTCAGACATGCGGTAGTTACATCCTATTAGGACTACTGTAACATGGTCCAGATTTTGGTAGCCAGTCTGTTGACCAAAGCCAGTTACAGGGAGTGCAAGGCAGCCTTCTCCTGCATGAGCCTACCCAGGTCTGAAGAGCTTCTGGAGTGCTCTGAAAGAGGGCCCTCTTGATCACTGCTTCCAGACTATGGCGCCCTCTGCTGAGGAAAGTTGAGCTTGCTCCCTCTCTGAGTTCCTTCCACTGACTGGCAAGACTGCCTTACTCCAGAAGCCCTTTGGCTGGTAAGCAGATCTGTTGGATCTGATGCAGTTTTTATTCAGTTGTGATTTTGATTGTGTGTTAATGCATTTTATTGTTTTAATAACATTTTATTTGTGATTGTAACCTACTTTGCCATTTTTCCTGTTAGAAGGTGGGGTACAAAGCAAATGATTAAGCATATACACATACATGCATTGGGGCAGGCAGAGAGGCTTTCAGGGCAGGTTGATTGTTTTGGGAGACCTCACAGAGGTTGACCATGGACCCTGCAAGGAAACGAATGAGGGATTCATAAAAGGCAAAGAATGTGTCCATTTTAGCTCTTTTACCCAGGGAGGAATCCAGCTGGACTGCAGCAGTGGTGAGTAAAACTCTTTGAGCAGCCTTAAGATTGGTGACTTCAGAAATCCCTTCAAGCTTCCTGGCAAAATATCATTCACTTCCAAATTCTGAGCTCCTTTCAGGAATGTCAGCCAAGGCTATTTTCCCTCAATCATCACATCATCACTTCATCCATTCTGGGTAATACCTCTTCACTACCACCATGTCCTCTTCTTTTCTCTCTTGCTGCTCCTAATCTCACAGGCTGCAGAGCGAGCACCTAATCGTATCTCCTCCTATCTTGAGGGATCCACTTTTCCTCCGGCCACCCCGATGAGACCAGCGACCAAAAAGGTAGAAAAGGACTGGGAAGCACCCCAGAAATGTTGTCATACAAGGCAGGCTGAAGCTATGATCCTGAGCACACTTGGAAGTAAACTGGATTAAATTTAATGGGACTTACTTTCAAGTAGACTTGTATTGAAACCAAGAGAGTAGGCATTTGAATTAGAAGCTGTGGCTGAGAAGCAGGTGTGCTGGTCATTGTGAACTGGTAACAGTGTTGTGTGCTGTGAATATGTAATGCAGGTGTGGGTGGTTTGACCAAATGGCACGGCTGCAGCTGAACCCGAACCCTTTGGCTAGTGCTGAGGGTTGGCTTCTGCCAGAAAGAATCCCAGGATCTTCTGCATGTAGGATTCAAACTACTGTGGTCATGCTGTTCCTCTTAAGGTCATTCTACGTGCTGTCATTTTTTTGTGAACTCTTCCCACCTCTGGCCCTTCAGTGTCAGTGGTTGTCTGTGATGCTTCTTTCCTCTTCCTCACTGAGCTGCTGCTTTAATTCTTCCATTCATAATACACAATGCACCAGAGCCTTCTTTCCAGGAATGGGCATGTAGGCCAGGCTGCTCATTGCTGCTTGCTTTAGGCAGCCTGAGGTGGGAGTTGCTCTTAACTGGAGCTCAGGGTGAGGAAGACAACCTGGCTTCTTGACCACTTAGGTATGCTATGATCTGAGAGCTTTCCTGTCCTGTTGGGGGAAAACCTTCACTCAATCAAGGAGAGGTAGCAGAGGAGTAAGCTGGTCTGGACTGTCTAGTTCTCAAAGCATGATTGGTCTGGAACTTACACTGTGGTGTTGCCTCTAAAGAATAGTGTCTTGAGAGCTCAGAAAAAAACTTGTACTTAGATAAGCCCTGTTTAGTAGGTGAGAGCCCATGTGCTGTGATCATTAAAGTGCTGGACTGGGGACCTGGGCAATCCAGGTTCTAGTCCTCACTTGGCCATAAAACTCACTGGGTGACTTGGGGCCAGTCATTGCTTCTCAGCCCAACCCCCCTCACAGGTTTGTTGTTATGAGGATAGAATGAAATGGAGAAGGATTGTGTGTATATATGTGTGCATGTATGTATTTATTGGGTTCCTTGTAAAAGAAAGAACAGTAGGATATACATGCAGTGTAATAGTAGTAAAGCTAATGATAGTAGTGTGCATGCATGTTTGTCCATCTGACCCAAGCCTCTGCAAGCAGAACACTTGCTTCTCTAAAATGTTAAATTGCTCTCTTAAATGGCTGTGTTTATCAGATGCTCTGCTTCAAAGCATCTCACTATCTACCCGTTGATACAAATGAGAAAATAAGGGAAGGGTGAGTTGGATGGCTCCAGCTACATGCAAGAGCACCCATCCATGCAAATGGATTCGTATCTTAGGAGCACGACCCATTCCCTACCCTTTATTAATCATTCTGAGATACTGTTTTGCTGTCCTTGGGTTTAACAGTAGTTGCTGGAAGCAGCAGGGAGGTTTATGATTTTCAGCCAGGGCATCAGGATGCTGTAAACTCCCTCAGAATTGATTGGGCAAGTATACATGCAGGCTGCGTTCTCATTTTCTTTTCCTTCTTTTTGGTTTGAAGGCACTGGTAGCTCCAGGAGCACCAGGCTGTGGTTAGAGACATGAGACTACAGTGGTTGGCCTGTGTGTTTACATAGGGCATGCTGAGCATTTCTGCCTTTGTAACTCTCTCTTGCTGTCTGAACACACAGCTGCTTCATGAGGAATTGGCCCTGCAGTGGGTGGTGAGCACCAGCTCTGTGCGGGAAGCTGCCTTGCACCAAGCCTGGTTCTTCTTTCAGCTAATGGTATGTTCCTTGTGCTCAAGCAGACCATCTTCCCTTGTGGTCAGGGCATTCATGTTCTTGTTGCTTCCTTACGTATTGCCCATGTTACATGTTCTCCTTGCTGTAGAATTCCCAGTGCTTCATCATGCTCTCTGTGCATCACACGTGTGGGCATTGCCATGCAGCATAAAGCCCTAGGTCCCACCATGGCTTCCAACACAGCCTTTTGGAGCTGTGCCTCATGTGCCACACACCTGCCTGCTGCAGACGGCCACTTTCAGTGCCTCCTCTGTCTTGGTGAGGGGCGCATGGTCAAGACCTGCCTGCACTGCCAGGCCTTTAAAAAACAGACATGCCGGCAGCAGGCAGATTGCCTCAAGTTTGCCCTGTGGCAGTGTGCTCTTTGGGTGACTCATCTACGGTGGAAGCTGAGAGGCCACCTGCCTCACTGGCCAAGGAGACCACAAGGTCCGGCAGCTGGTCCAGAAAAAAGGCCACTGCCTTGTCCAGGTAGAAGCCAACCAGTGCCAAGACTGCCCCAAAGAAGAAAAAGCACCATGTTAGCCCATGGCTACCTGCCTCTCCCCTGGCTGGCTCACCCCTGCACAAGGTCCACCCACCTACGCCGAATCCCAGGGTCCCACGGACTGAATTCCTCACTGTCTCAGAGATGGACTCACCAGGCCCACATGCCCATGCCTGGGCAGGGACTCCTACGTGTGAGTCACCACCACCTCTGCCACATCCAAAGTCTGTGACCCCCCAGGCTGTGTGCCACCATCTCAACTTGCTGACAAGCTCACCCATGCCAGCTGCAGCTAGCAACCTAGCCACCAGGGGTCACCCTGCTCTCCCCTCTTCAATTGGGACCATGACTCGCCATGGTTCCCTGCCTTCACCTATCCCAAATAGCTATTGGAGCCCTCAGATCATCCCACCAGCCCAGCTGTGCTGCCCTGAAGACACCATGTGGAACCAGAGGCCTCCAATTCCTCCTTTAGAGACCCCACAGTGGGCCTTAGCTATGCCAGGCTTCCTGCTCCACGCTGCCAACACCACACTGACAGTCCCCCAGGGACCTTGCCAAGCTTATCTCACGCCAGACTTGATCACTGCTGCCCCTGGATTTCTGGCCACCCCAGACACTCACAGTCAACCGTGTGTGCTAGAATCCTCTCGACATCGAGTGCATGCTGACATTGAGCCTCGCAGTGTTGGCCAGAACAGCCAGCATAACGCTGACACCACGCAGCCCTTTGTGCCAACCCAGCCCCCTCTGCCCACCATTGGGATGACTCTGATGCCAACCCCAGCAATGACAACCACAGGCCGCCGCTGTTGACCCAGTGCCAGGAGAGATCGAGACTGCTCAGTGATGCATGACCGTGGCACTGCAGCCCACTGCTTGCACAGCCCTTAACAGCTGTTCTCTGACTGCTCGCCAGCACCCAGACGCGAGCTCCTGCCATCCACCCACCGTTGCTCTACCTCTGTGGAGTCAGGTCAGAGCTACACTCCTCTCTCTGTCTGCTCTCCCTCCCCAGCCCCTTCACTACAATCCCCTGATGCCCTGGCCCATGACCAGGACCCACCCTCACCATCTGGAGGGAGGGATCAGTTCAGCAATATGGTCCTCCGCAGATATCCCAGCAGGCAGAACCAGAGGCTGACCTGGTCTTCAGTGCCCTGGTTTCAGAGAGCTCAGCTTTGATCACCATCCCTTTCTTGCAGCCCTGCTGCATACATCACAGCAGTCCTGGAAGTACCCTGCCACCGCATTGGCCACCTCTCGGAAAATTGAGTCTACTTATCGAGTGACAGACAAGTTGATGCTGTTCCTCCACCAGCACCCTAGACCTAACTCTGTCATAGTAGAGTCAGTGCAGGGGACCTCTCGGTGGGACCACTGTGCACCAGTGAACAGAGGGACAATGGCTCAATGGCCTAGCTAGAAGGGTCTACACAGTGGCCTCAGTTAGGGCTCCACATGTCCAACTATGGGGCTACCATGGCCAAATATCAGCTTTTCCTTTGGGGAAAAATGGGATCTGTGGCCGAGCACCTGCCAGAAGACCTTTGGGATGTCACCCGCCTGGTCCACTCAGAAGTAGAGAAGCTGTCCAGGCACCAGGTCAAAGCAGCTAGACACCATGTTGACTGTGACAGGTAGGTGATGATGGGAGCCGTAGCCGTCTGCTGCCATGCCTGGTGGTACTCTGTGAGCCTCCCATAAGAGAGACGAGCCCTCATAGAGGACATGCCCTTCAATGGAGAGGGACTCTTAAGTGCTTGTACAAATTAGAATATGGACTCTCTCCACAGGGCCCGGACCACTGCCAGATGTATGGGGATTGGCTACCAACCTCAGCAGGGTAAATGTCAAGGAGCCCAGCCACCACCCCTTCCCAGACCATCAGTTCAGGTCTTGGACAGCACCTTTCCCCAAGAGGTATGATGCCATTTCCCATCAGAGGCCAAGACATTAGGTGCAGGTGCTGAAATTCAAGTTCATGCAGCCCCCCCGCCCACACACACCAGATCTGTCCCCCTCTACTAATTTCATTGGCCATCTTAACACAATTCTTCCTAGTGTGGGAGACAATAATGTCTGACTCCTGGGTCTTGTCTATAGTGGAGCATGGATACAGGATTAAGTTTGATGCCCTACTGCCCCTAGGCTGCATCAAAACCGCTTCCCACTGCTCATCAAGGTAGTCTCCAAAATCCAGAGGGTCAAGACAGGCTGTGTTCTCATTACTCCCTGGTGGCTGACAGCCATGGCTCCCCCTTCACCACCACTTCTCCGACAGGATGTTCCTCTTCTTACAGCTGTGCCACAACCTGCTTTCACAGGACAGATGTCCCAACGTCAGGACCATGAACCTGACCACTTGGAGGATCTGCAGGTGACAGACCCCTAGCTGTCCCTCTCCTGCAGCTGCCTCCACTCTGCAGGCTGCCCTCAGGCCCTCCATTCACAAGTCTTACCTGGCCAAATGGAAAGCTTTCACGCTCTTCACCAGGACAGCAGGACTCGACCCCCTCCTGGGCTTCCTTTGAGCACATCCTCACCTACCTCCAGACTCGCTTTAGTGCAGGCATCGCCCCATCCTCATTTCAAGTCCATCTGGTGGCGATCTCATACTTCCACCCGCAATTCAGGGATCATCCATCTTCATGCACCCCCAGCACGCAGGTTCCTCCACAACCTCCAAAATATCACCCCATCAGTACACCCCTGCACAGCGTCGTGGAGTTCCTCAGTAGTCCTGCATTCCCTCACCAAAAGGCCATTCAAGCCTATGAAAACAACAGACTAGTGTTTCCTGTCATGGAAGACAGCGTTCCTTGTAGCCATCATGTTTGCCCACAGCACCAGCAAGTTATCAGCACTGTGGATCAGCACACCCTACTTCACCTTCTGCAGGAAGAAAGCTGTGCTTCAGCTGGACCCACACTTCAGACGTAAGGTCACCTCTTTCTGTGTCAGCCAGGACCTCGTCTTCCTAGCCTCCTTCCCCAGCCCCTCCACCCCTATCAAGGCCACACTACACCTCCTTGACGTGCACAGAGCCCTCCGCTTCTACAAAGCATGAACAGAGCACCTCCAGTGCTCAACCTGCCTCTTTGTCTGCTACAAGGGCCAGAGCCAAGGGGAGTCTGTCTCATCCCAGAGACTTGCATCCCACACCCAAGTGGGTGTCCAGGGCCGTTTGCCTAGCATATGAGATGGCAGGACATCCATGCGTGCGCTCCACATGTGTACAGGCCATATCTACTGTCCTGCTAGCCAGCATCTTCCTGCATGATATTGGCAGAGCTGCCAAGTGGTCCACACCATCAGCTTTTGTCTGGAACTACCAGCTTGACATTCATGTGAGACAGGACTGTATTCAGCAAGGCAGTCCTCTCGGCTATCCTGTGGTGACAACAGCCCCTCCATCCATGAAGGATAAGCTTGCTAGTCACCTGCATGTGTGATGCACAGAGACCACAACGAAGAAAGGCAGGTTGCTTACCTGTAACTGTCGTTCTTCGAATGGTCAGCTGTGCATTCACACAACCTGTCCTCTGGCCCACTGGCTGCCGTCAGCCTACCACGCCCTCCACCTGTGACATGGGTTGTCAGGCAAGGGTGGGAACAGAATCACCATCTCATCCGAACCTAAGTCTTTGGCTGCCTAGAAATGATGTGGTCTCCAAGGCAACTGAGGGACTGGCCAGGAGCCCCACTCTTCTTATCCTGGGACCTGGAATGTTTGGGGGGTTCCTGCCCACTAAGTGACACTGAGTTATAGAAACTTTTTCCAATCTAGGCCATGAACTATGCAGCAAAGCCCACATGTGTGAATGCACAGATGACCACTCGAAGAACAACAGTTACAAGTAAGCAACCTGCCTCTTTCTGTTCTGAGCAATGCCATCGCAGACAGTTTCAGAGAACTGAGATGTCCTCCTAGGGATGTGGACAGGGTTTTTTGGATGTTTTTGCTTAAGGAGAGAGATGGCCACTCTCCTGGATTGGCCTGTCAACACACCCCACCCCAAGGTGAAGCACCAGACCCATGAGAAGGGTGCCATGTATAAAGGTACCTGTTTCTGCTCCCTTGTGTCAGGGAGGAACAGGGCCTCTTCACTGGCTCCACGTAATCCATCATGGCAGATTTAAAGTGACATTTTTGTCTACCTGACCTCCTATGTCAGCTGTTTCTGGGAGATTTAGCAGGTAATTTATTTGACAAGACTAAGAGCAGTTTTGCTTTGCCCAGGGTACCTATACAGTTTGGATCAGGTCCAGATAGGAAGCTCCCAATCTGGATTAATCAGGCTGTACTTGCCAAATCAGGATGATGCCCTACTGACATTGCATTTATCTTACAGGTGAAGAGCATGGCACATCATCTCTTCCTGTGCGACAAACTTGAGGCATCTCGCAAGCTGCGCTTCCCTGGCCATTTTGTTGATGACATCTCAGCCTTGGTGTGCACTGTCAGTGCAGAAATTGCTAGCCGTTGCCAGAAGGTCTGTGCAAGGTTTCTCCTATTAACCTTTTTATTCAGACTTCTCCTGAAGACTTTTCCAACACATCAGACTTTTCCTTACACTCCACTCCTTCAGTAACCTGATTGAATACATTGGGCCAGGTCCAAATTTTCCATTCAACTATGAACCAGGAGACAATGTGCACTATTACAGTAGTAAATTATGTTCTGCTTTGAGCACTTCTATTTCAAACAGTTGTGTAGGAACATATAGAAACAGAGCGACTCGCAAGGGTCTCCCGGGTCATCTAGTCTGACCCGTGGCTCCAGACAGCTCCGCTCACGGCATGCCCATCATGTGCATGTCTAGCCTATATTTGAATACCCTCACCGATGGGGTCTCAACAACCTTCTGTGGAAGCCCATTCTATACCCTCAGGGACCTGTCAGGAAGTACTTCCTGGCATGAAAATTGAACCTTGGTTCCATGATCTTCACTCCGTTGGAGCAAGTCCTGCCCTCCTTTGCAGGGAAGGTCTCTACCCACCTCTGTGTGACACCCCTTCTCATACCTGTATGTTGCCAACAGATCTCCTTGGAGTCTCTTCCAGGCTGGCTATATCCTTCCTGTAACAAGGGGCCCAAAACTGAACACAATACTCCAGTTGTGGGCACACCAGCATCATATAGAGTGGTAGTAATACCTCTCTCGATCTAGAAGCTACAATTCTGGCTATGCAACCAAGGGTGGCGCTCGCCCTCTTAACCACCGCATCACACTGGTGACTCATGTTTAGCCTGCACTCAAGCAGCACCACGAGATCCCTTTCACAAGTACTGCTTTCCAGGCACTTGTCCTCTAATGTGTACTTATGACACCCATTCCTATGCCCCAAGTGCAAGACGTTGCACTTACCCGCACTGAACGCCATCCTGTTGTCCCCCACCCACTTTCCTAGTCTGTCTAGATCCCCGGTTTTAGTATCATCTGCGAATTTGATTAGCCAACTGTTCACCCCTTCTTTCATGTTGTTGATGAAAAGATTAAACAGGATTGACCCCAGGACAGAGCCCTGGGGGACCCTGCTTGTCACTGGCCACCATCCTGATGTTTCCCCACTAATGGTTACCCTCTGCTTTCAGTCAGTCAACCATGCCCTAATCCATCAGACAGTGCATTGGTCTATCCCAAACTCCTCAATTTCTCCACCAGGATATCATGGGGCACTTTCTCATTGCTGAAATTCAGGTAAACCACATCCATTGCATCCTCTCCATCTAGTCACCTCAAAACCTTGTCATAGAATTCCACAAGGTTTGCCTGGCAGGACCTGTTGTTGCGGGAGCCGTGTTGTGTGGCCACCAGCCTCCCTTCCCTATCTAGCATCACTAGATCTCTCGCTATTATGAGCCTTTCCATTGTTTTTCCTACAATGGACGTAAGGCTAACTGGTCTGTAATTCCCCTTGTCCCTTTTACTATGCTTTTTGAAAATTGGGACCACTGACGCCCCCCTCCAGTCCTCTGGAACTTCACCTGTTCTCCACAAGGCCTCAAAAATGAGGCCTCCAAAACCTCCCTTTTGAGTGTCATCCACCCCTCCTCAACTTCCTTGCCTTCCAGTAACCTATCCCAGGAGGACCGAAGTTGGCCCTCTTGAAGTCCCAGCTTCTAGTGCTTGAACTGCTGCATGTCCCCATTCCCCTGATCTCAAAGCAAAGGATGGAGTGATCACTCACATCCAGAGTTCCCCTAATCTGTACCTCATCTATCAGCTCCTCCCTGTTGGTCAAAACCAAGTCAAGGATGTCACACCCCGCCCCCCCCCACATCACCTCTCGGACCCTCTGTGTGAAAAACCCTCCCTCTATAGCGTCTAGGCAGCGACGTGACCTGGTTGTCATGGTTGAGTGAGTCTCCCACCTAATATCTGGGAGAGTGACATCTCCCATAATTACTGTGTTTCTCCCTGAGATATCCTTGGAATCTGATCTGTCAGGACATCATCCAGGGTCTCACGTTGACCTGGAGGGTGATAACATACCCCCACTGGCAGGTCTCTTTCCCTGTCAAAACCCTTTTGTTTCACCCAGACTGCCTCTACCAGATCCCCATCTGCACTGCATTCTATCTCACTGCATCCTATCCCTTCCCTGACATGTAGAGCTATGCCCACACCCATCTTTCCCTTCCTGTCCTTTCTAAACAGGTGATACCCCTCTATGTTTACATTCCAGTACATACATACATATTTTACTTAGCTTACCCTGTCATCTCCCCTAAAGAACAGTAATAAATTAATACACTCAGCTTTATGTCTTCCTATATAATTTGCAAGATTCCTTAAAAATATGGGGCACACTCTACTGAGCATCTTGGGATACACTGCTGTGGTCCACTTTCTATGTGCTATATAAATAGAAAATACAATTATACACTGTATGTATCCAATTGTAATTCTGAGCATATCACAGGAAAAATTAAGGGGAAATCCCATCTTATTGATGGAGTTGCAACAGGGCTTAATTATAAATGGGTACATGGCCAAATCCTCATCCACCTTCAGAGGTGTACATTCATGCTGATATAATATATCCAAGGGCACAATCATAGGCATGTTTGGGGGAGGGGGGGACCACAGCTCCCAACATTCACCAGGAAGCCATGATAATTAGGACATGCGGAGAGTTGCAGGACTTGTTTCTGTTTAAACATGCGTAGGATTCTGCCCTCATTAAGGAACCCTTGGCTTTCTAGCTGTCATAGGATCCCATTTCCCATCAGCCCCAACCAGTATGCCTAATGGCTGAGTTCTGGGAGTTGTAGTCCAATAATATCCAGAAGGCCAAGCATATCCTGCCTCTGGATTACACTTGAAAAAGCAAAGCTTTGAAATAAAATTTATTTGTATAACTATATAACTCGTGGTTTGACTAGTGGACCTTGTTCTCTTAAACTTGCAACTGGTACAGATATAAACACTCTGCTTGGGCTAAATTAACATGGATGGAAATGCGTTCTGCCCTGTTTTCCTTCAGCCTGCATTCAGCCTGCAGTGTTTACATGAATACCCAACCCCTTCTCTCACTGCCTTACCATCCGATGCTGCATTTAGAGTTGCCAGAGACCCAGGGAAGCCCCATCAGTTGCCACCTCACATGTGCTTGTACTTCTTTCATAGGATGTAGAGTTGGTGGAGCACCTCAACCAAAGTTTAGCCTTTTTCCTCAATGACCTGCTATCCATCATGGATCGTGGCTTTGTCTTCCTTCTTCTGCGTTCCTATTACAAGCAGGTAACTAAAGAGACCTGGTACCACTTGGTCCTCAGCATGGCAATTGTCCCTTTGGAAAGAGGCCAAGCTAACTGGTATAAGGGGTTTGGGCGTTCCCTTTTATGGATGGTGGTGGAAAACCATGTGCGGTTCAGGACTCATGCTTAAAGCTTGCAACATTTTAGTGGTTCATGTTACAAAACAGGCTGTGGAATGTTAGTTGTATTAAATTTGTTTCTGTCTAAACATGCGTAGGATTCTGCCCATAATGTAAGTTTCAGATACTCATTTTTTTGTGTGCTATTGACCCTAAGTACAGTTTCCTCTCTACTCTGCATCTGTCTTCATCGGTTGTTTAAAAAAAGGGAAGAAAAGAAAGCTACACACAGGTATTCTGAAAAGAAAGGAAACATAAGCCTCACAACAAAAAACAAATGGTTTAAAGGAATATTTTGCTGTTAATTAGATAGCATTTGTAACTGGCTGCAATAGCAGAATCTGTGTTTGAGTTTCTTTTTGCAGTAATAGATGTATTTATTTAAATTTATCTATTTATTACCTTTCTATCCCAAAATGACTCTCTGGATGGGTTGCAGGATATAATAACAACAATATACATACTAAATTAAATTATATTAAATTAACAAATATTACAACAAAATCAACAGTGAAACATAAAAACAATACAGCAAACCTCACAATTATCTTGAGTCTTAAACCAATAACAAACACAATAAAGGGTACTATAGCACTAAAATGTAACTAATACCATTCAAAATATTTTAAATTACAGTGGTTTCTCATAGTTGGAACGACTCTTAAGTTCGAACAATCCAGAGTTTGAACGTTGAGTTGAGAGATAATCACTCCTCAGTTTGAATGATGCTTCTATATTTGAACTGCAAGAGAAGTTATAAAAATACAGTTGCAGCCAAAACATTTGTGTTCCCTAGTCATTTTTAACTTTTGTAGCATGTGCATTTTCAGTGCTTTTTTTCCCTTTATTTTTGGTTGTATATGAGGTGTAATCAAAAAATACAGTGAATATTTAAATAAAAAAATAAAAAAGACTCATTGCCATCAGTTCCCCCCAAAATGCTCCCCCTTGCTTCAAACACACTTATTCCATCGTCCTTGCCACTCTCTAAAGCAGTTCCAAAAATCCTCTTTGCATCTCTTTGCTCCCATGGCTGCCTCAATGCGCTCAGTTGCGGCAGCAGCTATAGGCAGCTCCTCATCCTACCGCACATGAGGGACCACCATTTCCTCCTCCATTAGAGGGGGGAAGAGGAGGAACAACCCCTTGGCGCGCTCTTCTGCAGGATCACATGCCTATTCCTTTGCTCCTGTTCATTGTTCGCTTCTCCTTGTAGTCACCCTCACTTCCTTCAGAGGGGGCTCCAATGATAACCTAAGGTCTGGGTGGGCACATATCGGAGCTCTCACCATTCTGAGACTCCCATTGCTAATGAATGGTATATAAAATCTCAAATAAGAGGTGCCTGCTTAGATAACCTGGCCCCAAGCTGTTCAGGGCTTTAAAAATTAGTGTCAACACTTGGGCCTGTATTCTGTTGGTAGCCAGTGGAGGTGGTAGAGGACTTGTATACTCATACATGCCAGTTCTCATAGACAGCCTTGCTGAAGTTTCTGGGCCATCTTCAAAGGTATCCCAGTATAGCGAGCATTGAAATAATCCAGGCAAGGGGTTACCAGAGTGTGAATAACAGTTGCAAGGTTCTGCCTGTCCAGATAGTGTTGTAGCTGGCAGATCAGGCTCAACTGTTAAAAGGGGCTCCTAGCCACCAAATCACCTGAAATTTCAGGGGTAATTCAGGGTCCAGGAGCCACCCCCAAGCTATGAATGTTATCCTTTAGTGGGAGTGCAACCCCATCCAGGACAGGGTTGATGTCACCCATCTGGACTGAGAATGCCCCCTCCAGCTGTGCCGCCATTTAAGCTTGAGTTTATTGGCCCTCATCCAATCCATTATCAAGCCCAGACCACAATTCAGACTGGCTGCTGCCTCACCTGCAGTAGCTGAGAAAGAGAGGTGGAGCTGAGCATCGTCAGTGTGCTGATGACATCTCAGCCCACACCTCAGGATAACTTCCAACATGACAACCCACACTCAAGGCTGAGTATGAGTTGTTATAAAACCATAGGCCGTTTTGTTGTGTAAACCCAGTCATGCTAAAGAATAATGATTTGTTAACCACAAATAACCCACAGTTCACAACTTAACAACAAGCCATCCCTTCACTCCATGGATTGTGTTAATGTGACAACTCATATTTCAGCAGCAACCAGTAGTTCAATGACAAACCACACCCAACCTATATTCAGCTTTGTATGTGGACTGTCATATGAGAGGTCTTTTCTTGGAATAAAAGCAAGGGCCTGATTTGTATGACACAACAACATGACATCAAGATGCCCAAATTGGTGTGGTTTCCTCAGCCTGGTTTGTTAACCATACACAGACCACCCTAAGAACCCATGGGTTGCTGCTGGATCGTTCAGCATGGCTTGTTTTCCAAGTGGCCTGTCATGGAATCCAAGCCTGGCAAAGTGGTTTATGCATGGCTTGTCAGAAATGACTGCAGAGCCACTGGGTAAGAGCAGCAAAAGCCCTGATGGTGCTTGGCAGTTTCACTCATGCTGCCTCGCTCGTTTGCCTTGGTCCCGTCCTCTCCTACCTCAGTAAGAAAAAAACTTTGCCAGTGTATTCCTCTGCTTCATCCTTGTTAGATCAATAACCGCCTGCTGACCACCCAGAACCCCAATGCTCTTGTTGCACTGAGGATGGACTTGGTTCGTATCGTCTGCAGCCATGAGCACTATGTCATCCTGAACCTGCCCTGCAGTGGCCTTTCCCCACCGGCTTCCCCTTCCCCCTCTGTCTCCTCTGCCACCTCCCAGGTAAGTAAAACTGACTCAGAGTAGAGGACATAAGAAGAAACTGGGTGGATCAGGGCAAGGATCCATCTGACCCACCACTCTGTCTCCAGCAAGAGCCAAGAAGTTCTCCCCAGTACTCTGAAGATGGAGACTCCATTTAGCTGTCATGACCAATAGCCTTCACTTGGAGAGACTTTCCTTGTGAATTTGTCCAGCCTTTTTAAAAGCTATCTAAGCAAGTGGGTGATTAACTGACACCTGGGGTGGGAAGACTGGGGCCCAAGGTCATTTTGCAGGAAGGATTTTGAAAAAAGGGAGGGTTGGCTTTACTGATGGTGAGAGGGTGGCTGTGTGAAGCATGGGGCTCAGCCCTTTGGATGCCAAGAAAAATAAGAGGTGAATAGTGAGACAGGGAGCAGAAACAAAGGTGGTTATGGGCAACCAGTTACCAGCAGGAGATGCATAGCAGGGGTTTGAGATGCCTCTTGGAGGGAAAGGCAGTGTTTCCCTTCTAGCAGATTTCTCTCCTTGGAAATAGGGGTTGGGCCAGAGGGCCCACCTTCCTCGCCTTTTATTAGTGCCCCATTGTTGCAGTTGGAACAGGAGTGCTGCAGAGCTGTCCTTAACATTTGAGGAAGCCTTTACATCTTCCCTCCTTCCTCTAACACAGCATTTGAACCAGTCAGGAGGCTACCCCAAATGATAGCAGCTAATGTGAGAGAAGGAGGTGCCCTTGGCTGCTGTCTTCTGCTCTTTGACAGCTAGGGCATGGAGGCTCCATGTCCTGCATGATTTCTCATAGGACTGCACCTTTTCCAGGGTTCAGCCTTCTCCAGCCACGTGCAGGATCAGAGGGTGGCCAGCATGTTTGAGCTCTCTGTGACTTTTCGGCAGCAGCACTTCCTGGCAGGGCTGGTGCTGATGGAATTGGCACTCATCCTGGAGCCAGATGCAGAGGGGTAAGTGTGCCCATGTGGAGAATTTGCACCAGAGGTGATTAGTTCAACTAAATTATATATTAACTACTCTTCAGCAGGAGCTCTGAGACTACCTTACAAAAATAAGACCCTAGCAAGGCAAATGCAGTTCAGGTTAATTAAAAGTGTTTCATCTCATGCCAAAAAGAAAAGTATGGTGCCCAGTGATTTTCCAGGCCATGGTGCTGCAACTGAAAGGACTTTTTCTAGTCGTCATCCACCTTTGAATCTTATGAGGGACTCAGAGCAGGGCCCTGGCAGCCCATCTTCATGTTTAAACAGCACCATGCTGGAGCAGGCATTGTTTTCAGTGCCTTGGTCTCAAGCTGCATAGGACTTTACTGATTAAAGCCAGCATTTGGAATTTGGCCCAGAAAGGATCCAAAAGTCAGTGTAACAGTTCTAAAACTAGTGGTAAGGCACTCTGAAAGTCCCCTCCCAGTTAGTGCAGAATACCACAACATATCCAATGCTGCCTAGATAAGCAAAGAGCAGTGCATGAATATTGAAGGAAGCACTCCACAAATACGTGCACAATGTCATTCGCTTGCTCTTTATTAACCAATCATAATGTGTTCACACTCCCAGCATTGTGGGGAAGGAGTTGCTGGGCTGCTGCCTTACCTAGTGAGCAATGGCTTAGGTCAGGGGTCCTCAAACTTTTTCACGAGGGGGCCAGTTGAAAGGTGCCAGTGCTGGGCATGGGCCGGAAAGGTGGTGCCGGCGGTGCATGCAGGCCAGGGCAGGGGCAGCACATGTGGGCGCCTGCGCTGAGGCAGGGCTCTCAGCGAGAGGAGGCGAGGCATGGGCGGGCATGCACAGTGAGGCGGGCACACGAGGCAGCAGCTTGCTTGCTTGGAGATTGTTTTCTCCGAGTGAGCAAACTGCTGCCTCCCTGCGCGAGGTGGACAGCAGTGGGCACACGCATGCGCATGCAGCAGGTCCAAATGGTCATGGCGGGCCGGATCCGGCCCCTGGGCCATAGTTTAAGGACCCATGGCTTAGGTTTTTCCAGTGCATGGAGGAAGTAAGGTTGAAGCTGCAACCTTAAGTTGTTGTTTAAGTTGCCACTGCCCCCTTAGTCAGACCTCTGTGTTGACTCTGCTGCTCTTCCCATGCTACAGAGCCTTCTTCTTGCACAAGAAGGCCATCAGTACTCTACACAACCTGCTGTGCAGCCATGACTCAGACGCCCGCTACATGGACCATGCTGTGCGGGAGCATGTGGCTCAGCTCTACTTGCCTCTGATTGGAATAGTCATGGACGCCCTGCCACAGCTGTATGACTTCACAGGTGAGGCCAGGAGGCCCCTCTGGGGAGGAGGGGCATGGCTGGAGGGTAACTGATGAGTGTGGCTAAACATGTACAGTGGTACCTCAGTTCACGAACTTAATTCATTCCACGATTCTGGTCAAACTGAATTGGTGACAAACCCAAGTCAAATTTCTCCATAAGGTTCAATGTAAATAAGGTTAATCTGTTCTGAACAGTAACTTTGTTATACATAAAGGACAGCATATAAAACTTGTAAATAATTAAATACGGTATGGTGTTGTTGTTTTTTTTTTTTTTTTAAACCACAAAAATATGAGCCTTTAGTGGGAGTGCAACCCCATCCGTGGCCAAGCCACAGCCACCTTGCCGAGCCCTGGGGCAGATGGGCCGAGGCAGAGCAGGAGCGGGACCGAGGCGGAATGGGAGCAGGGCCGTGGCTCTCACTCCTCCATCATGGCCTCCTCAGGGCCAGCCGCTGCCACCGCCAAGCGGTCGCCATACTTCTCCCCCCCCCCCCCCGTGGTGGGGAGAGGAGGGAGGTGTCCTGCTGAGCCAGCCATGGCCCTGTCCCTCACCTTGACCCCCAGAAAGCAGTCCTTATCTCTTCACGGCCTTCTCCCGGCCAGGGAGGCTATCCCAAACCCACCTCTCTGGCCTTCCACTTCTGCTCCCCTTCCCAGAGCCAGACGAGCAACTGCGAGGGGACCTTCCTCTGGCTCAGAAGCGAGGGGGTGGTGAGGAGCCGGGAAGGCCTCTACCAAGGTGAATGTGCCCTCATGGCGCCCCCTTGTGGTGGTTGGGGAATGTTTGGGTGGGAAAGATGGCCGCGACTGTGGTCATCACCCGATACGGAATTTCGAACAGAGGCAGAATTTTGCCAAAATTTCTCTTTGCAGCCCGAATTGGTTGCAAACAGAAGCATTTGTGGCCCGAGGTACCACTGTAGATTCTTGGCCAGTTCCAAAGGAGCTGGCCTCTCCCACTTCTCTCTTACTGGTGTCACACCTTCTCGATCTACTTAAAGAGGAATCAGCTGACTACAGGACTCTGGGAGTTATGGCATCAGTCCAGCTGGATCAGACCAGTGCCATTTTGATGCAGTGATCATACAATAAAGCTATGCCAAATAGACATTCTAAAAGGTTAAGACCTTTTTATTTAATCAATATTTTAACAAGTTTTAATACTGAATTTTAGTACCATATTTTAATTGCAGCCAGAGTGGGTCGTTAATTTATTTATGTTATACTTTTATGTATAGGTATTTTATTTGTGTAAGCCGTCCTGAGGCTCTCACAAAGGATAGCATACAAATATCTTGAATGAATGAACGAATGATTCCTTGTTCTTCTTCATCTGACCATACTGTTTAGGCCAGCACACCAGCTATATTTATCAAACCAGCTTTGTGTTTTAAAGCTTAAAAGCTCAGGATTTAGTTCTCAAATCTGTTTTATTTCATTCTGTTTTGTAGTATCATTGAGAAACTCTGTCACACTTTTTCTCATTACATCCTCCATGTGATGCCTCTTGTTCTGACTCCTTGTCTAAGAGCATATCTAATGAGGGTGCAAGTTGATTTCCACCTCTATCCATTTGATTCCAAAGGATAGCTTATAAAAATCACCTCTGTGTACTGACTCTGCCAGTATTATAACTTCTGATTGGTGCCCTGCAAACTTTTTGTACCAAAGCTAATAGTTGTTTTGATTAATGGTAAAAAGATACACAAAAAAGGGAAAGTTGCCATTGACCATAAGAGAAATTCCAGTATTTGTATCAGCTCAATACCTTGATTAGACCAGCTCAAAGGTTACAAAGATGCTTTTGAGATCCTGAGATCTCTTGACCAGGTAGGGTATTGCCAAAGGTGGATGGGGAAGAAAAAAAAAAAGGCTGAGTTGATTTTGAAGTCACCCTGTCCACATGGTCAGGGTCTTAAATTTGGGGAGATTGAAAGTGTTTAGGCTCACCCAGGTGATGCAGACAGAGGAAAGTTGCACCTAGACAAAGAAATGAGCAATGGTTGATCCAGCTGTTACACTGTCTCCATGCTTGGGGTTTCTTAGTTGGTGAGAGGTAAGTTTTACATTAACAGAAATAATTTTGAATAGTGTCCTTGAATTTAAAAAATCAATAGAAAACAGAGTTTGTAACCTTTGAACTGGCTTGTTAAAGATAATACTCTAATACAGGTTGAAAATACAGAATGTTTAATGTCATGGTTTGCTACCTATCTACAAGACTAATAAAATTATTCTCCCATATTCATGACTAAATCTTGGCTTTCTGCTTTCTCTTGTTTCATGTTTTTCTTATTGTTTATTTTAATACCTATTTTTTCTTGAAATGCATGCTTGATCAACAGCAAAAATCCAAATTGTAAGGCAGTCAGCTGGGCAAATACGGAGAGAGCTTCACAGTGGCTTTTTAATGTTTTCTGAATGATCAGACATATTGCCAATTATTCTGGAATCACAATCCTGAAAAATGGTCAAACAGTAGGAAGCAATGTGTGAATTTGTTGTGTGTCATAGTTTCTTGTATCATTTGCTGATTTGGGAATGATATAAGTCCAACAAAGAAAACCAGAAGAAGAATATGCATTTCAAATCCAGTATATGTGATTTGGGTCTTGAACTGTAAATCTCATGACCTGATACTAGTGCCAGGCCTTTTAAGTTACCTAGAAATGTGTGAGCTCAGACTTCAGACCAATGGAGGGGAACAGAAGTGTAGTCTTAAAGAAAACATTTTGCCCACTGCCCTCTGCCTCCAGCCTTATGCTGGTGATTTAGTGAACACACTGCAGGTCTGGTTCAGGATACAGCCACCCATGCCCCAGCTTTGCTTCAAAAGTAATTTTTGCCAGAGAAGACTGGTTTGAAATTAGCTTCATACTGATGCAATAAGTCTTTGCTTAAAAAATCAAAAAAGTTAACTTGGAAGCAGCTCTAAGCTTGCTTTCACTTTATTGCCTCTGTGTTTGTGTGTTTTGCTTATTGGATTGTTATGCTTTGGGTTGTCTTGCTCTTTGAAATTTCCATTTTGAGAAGAAAATACAGGTTATATATTTTATTACAGATCATAAAGCGCAAATTAGTGTTACTTATATGTGTTTTTAAATAGAATTGTCAAAGTTAGTGGCTTGGGGCTGGGTGAGGATGGCTATTGCTTCTTCCCTTCTCAGCCCTTGGACAATTCTCCTTTACAGAGAGCCTCAGCCAGCGAGGGCGGCTGGCCACTGTGATGGCTGAGGATGGAGATGGAGATGGCAGCACCATTAGCCAGTCCATTGCCATGGCCATTGCTGGCTCTCCCTTGCCTCATCCACACCGCTCCACCACTTTCCAGATGCCATCCATGGTGAGTGCACACCAGCTGCAGGGAGAGGAGGATCAGAGTGCAGAACCCTTGCTTGGTGGGTTGGGGCCAGGATGGGCCAGGGCCAGGATAGTGCAGGAGCCTCCTCTGTGGAAGAGAAGCCTGGGATCCTATGCAAGTCTTGGGAGAAGTGTCTTGGAGTACCCTGGAGTCTTCAGACCTCTGTTAGTCTCAGTCTTCAGCAGGAAAGGCTGAATGCATGTTCAGATCCATGGTGCACTTGGTCCAAAGGCTTTGGATCCATGGTCCAAAGCCTGCAGGAGGTAGACTACATGGCAAATTTTAAAAAGGCAGCTCTGAACACATCACCCCAAGGAGCCAGCCCACAGTTCAGATGAGTCTTCTGTGGCTCATCCAGAGAAGGACAACTTCTGGGGTGACCTTTGAGAATGAATCTCCTGGGCATCCCTTGTTCTCTTGCAGGGCTGCCGTGGTAAAAACATTAGATAAGGTGGGTGTGAGGTTCTTAAAAGCAGTATTAGTTAAGAAGCAGAGCTGTGGCAGCAACATGTTCTGGAAACTGCCAGCAGAGAGCAGCAGGATGGCCCTCCTCCCCTCACCCCTGGGATCACAGCTGCTTTTCCAGTTGTGGTTGACTGAGTTAAGGCACAGTGGTCCTGCATTCAGTTACAGCGGCTTGCCCATGAGAAATGCAGTGCGGATCGTATGAGCTTCCCTGAGCTGAGATTGTGTTTGTTTGCAGGCTTCCCGCCATTACAACATGCTGTCTGCTGAGGCAAGTCGCAACCTGCTGGTGTGTCTCCTCTGGGTGCTGAAGAATGCAGATGCAGCCATGCTGCATCGCTGGCTTGCAGACCTCTCGGCTTTGCACGTGAACCGTCTCCTAGACCTCCTCTACCTCTGTGTCTCTTGCTTTGAGTACAAGGTGAGAAGAGTCTAGCGATACTGGGCTCCTCTTCTTCCAAGACTGGCAGCAGAGCCCAGGAATTCTGCCTTTAGCTAGTTCAAGGGTGGCTAAAGCAGATCAGGATCTGCTGGTAAGTTGTTTGGATGCTGTGTAGTTGACTGGAAGGAGTTTCTGATTCCAAAGAGCATGCAACAGTAGCAAGTAAAAACAGCTGCCTTCTATAGATGGCCTTGTGTCAGTGGCTTCTCTCCCAGCCTGTAAAGACCATGTGTTTTTGACACGGTCTTTGTGCTTTTCTGCTGGCCGTTGCTAGAGCTGAGCTAAAATCCTTCATCTGTGGTCACTTGGGTGTAGATTTGTCTACGCAGCCCATGCCAGTCTTATGTGTAGCACCTGTCCCTTCCTCCCAACCTTTTGTGGTTCTAGCAAAACTCAGAGTAGATCACACTGTCTTGGCATCTGCCCACCCCTGAGCTTGGGGACTCCTGTTCAGGGTTTGATATGGAAGCCCAAAGTACAGCTCTAATCATTTTTGCCAGAGGCCCTGACTTTCAGTGGGAAAAGGCCCTGTTTAAGGCCTTTTAAATGTTGCAATGTTTAGGTAAAGCTATTGGATGTAGAAATGAACAGCTCAGTCATGTAACCAATTTTGCAGAGAAAATATAACCACAGCATAGTCTGTGGAAGTGTTTAGATTAACCCCACAGCGTTAATTTAAAGCTTCGGCTGAATGTATGCAGACCAAAAATAGCAAGAGAACATAGCAAGCTAGTACAGCAAACATGATTGTGGTGCTGTTTTTCACTGGTAGCTGCAAAGCTCAAGCATGGTGAACACATAGTCTGGGAGAGTAAATGCCAGGCAGAGATGGGAGGGAGGCAGGTATAACAACCTTCCTACAGACAAGAGACACTCCTTGGAATAACTTCGGAAACTGCAGGTTTACCACAGTGTGGCTGTCTGAGTGGAGGCAGGATAGAAAAATAGAAACAGAGTGGGTCAGAAGGGGCCTCCCAGGCCATCTAGTCTGACCCCCAGCTCCAGCTGGCTCCACTTATGGCATGCCTACCAGGATAGGAAGCTAAATGCAAGAAACCACAGTATTTGCCAGAAAATGGTGTACTTTCTTTTGGCTTATGATCTAAACCTCCCCATGGGAGTAGCATAGTAGCATATTTGGCTTCAGCCAAGGCCTGCCAGTGGTATGAACTGCAGTGGAGAGAGAGGGGGGAGGCAGGATTCCTTGCACATGGACTCCTGAAATGTCTGTGTGACCCACAGGTCCTTTCCAGAGTATTAGAAGCGTGGACTAAAAGCGTGGCTGATCTGGTTCTAGCCAGCAGCATCAAGCTGAAAAGCCTTTGCATTCTACTGCTCACTTCCTGTTGAAATGGGCACTTTCTTCTCCAAGCAACAGTGCCTCTTCTGCATGAACTCATGGCTGAGGAGGGTCCAATTCTGTTCTACCAGTCAAATATAACTCCTCTCCCATAGGGCAAGAAAGCCTTTGAGCGCATCAACAGCCTCACCTTCAAGAAATCTCTCGACATGAAAGCACGGCTGGAGGAAGCCATCCTGGGCACTATTGGAGCACGCCAGGAGATGGTTCGACGCAGTCGAGGTGAGAACTGCAGCAGTGCAAGAGGCGAGTCTTCTTGCCAAGCAAAAAAAGTTTCAGGTCTTGAAGCAAGCCTGCAAATGTAATAGCTGGAATTGGCAAAAATGGCCTATCCAGAATACCATATGTGGGGGAAGAAGGGGAAACTCCAAAACCAAAAATAAAACAGTGAATTTGAGCACATTTCTGGCAAACACAGCTGGCTGTAAAGGAAGGCCAAGCCCTTCTTAGGAGAATGTGAACTGTCTGTGAAATCCTAGCTTTTCCCCATTCCTACTCACTGCTGCTGTTGGAGTCCTCTATTTATAACTCAGGCTGAACCTGTTCTCAGCTGGAGTCCTCCTTTGCTGTGACTTTCTTCTCTTGCCCCACAGAGCGAGGGCCATTTGGAGCTCAAGAAAATGTTCGCTGGAGGAAGAATGTTGCCCACTGGAGGCAGAATTCGGACAAGGTGGACAAGTGCGTTTGTGGACAGCTTGGGGGGATTAGCACAGGAAGAATACCTTAGGCACATGCACAAGACCTTGTCTCAGACACTCATGTTCTCAGTCAGAGGGTGGTTGCCCCCCACCGTAGCATGACACAAGAGCTCTGGGCCTCACCAGCTGTGTGTTAAATGGTCCTGAGGTTGTGGGATGGGGAAAACAATTCACACACAGGAGTGAATTCTCTAAAGAAAAGGATTGTATAGCTGATGGGGAGGCACTTTATTGCATATCTCTTTTTTCTGAGCAGCTATGTGTGAGATGCACTGGGAACTGTGCATCTCACAAACAAGATAAATGGAAATGCTCCTCAGAACAATACAAAATATGAAAATTTGGGAAAGAATGTTGTCCCTGTGTCTGGAGAATTGCACAGTGCTGTGCATGTTCAGGCACTTTATCAAGCCATGGCAGCTCACAGGTGGAGTGTATGTTACATCCTGGTTCCCTGCAACAAAGATGAAACCTGGAAGGAAGATGCCTTTACCCTCCCTGCTGTGGTGTAAGCCCCACAACAGCAGAAGTCATCCACTTTAAGCTTAGATGCATGTCCTTCCCCTGAGCTTCAGCACTTTCTTTGAATCACAGGCAAGAACTTGGATTTTGCTCATGTTTTTATTAGTTGTTAGAGAACTCTACAATAACCAGTGCAGTTTAGAAATAAGAATGTACGCATGCATGAATGAATTCAAAAGAGCTTTCCTTTACCAGCCTAGTTTTGAAAGACAGGCAGATCTGGCAGTGACAAGGCCATTGGTCCATTTACCTCTTCCACTGCGCAGTGCAGTAGAGTCTTTTTCAGGGTGAGTTGTTGTTGTTGCTAGTTGCGAATTTGTGTCCAACCCGTTGTGACCCCATGGATAACACTCCTTCAGGCCCTTCTGTCCTCCACCATCCCCCGGAGTCCACTTAAGCTCACGCCGACTGCTTCAGTGACTCCATCTAGCCACCATAGCTTTCCTCCCAAGGAGCAAACGTCTTTTGATTTCTTGGCTGCAGTCCCCATCTGCAGTGATGTTGGAGCCCAGGAAAATAAAATCTGTCACTACCTCCATTTCTTCCCCTTCTATTTCCCAGGAAGTGATAGAACCGGATGCCATGATCTTAGTTTTCTTGATGATGAGTTTCAAGCCAACTTTTGTGCTCTCCTCTTTCACCCGCATCAAGGCTCTTTAGTTCCTCTTCACTTTCTGCCATTGGAGTGGTATCATCTGCATATCTGAGGTTGTTGATATTTCTCCGAGCAATCTTAATTCCAACTGGTGATTCATCTAGCTCTGACTTTCTCATGATGTGCTCTGCATATAAATTGAATAGGCAGGACGACAGTATACAGCCTTGCCGAACTCCTTTCTCAATTTTGAACTTATCAGTGGTTCCGTGTCCAGTTTTCACTGATGCTTCTTGACCTGCATACAGGTTTCTCAAGAGACGAATAAGATGGTCTGGGACTCCCATCTCTGAGAACTTGCCACAATTTGTTGTGATCCACACAATCAAAGGCTTTAGCTTAGTCAATGAAGCAGAAGTAGATGTTTTTCTGGAACTCCCTAGCTTTCTCCATGATTCAGCGTATGTTGGCAATTTGATCTCTAGTTCCTCTCCGTCTTCGAAATCCTGCCTGTACTTCTGGTAGTTCTCGGTCCACATACTGCTGGATCCTAGCTTGTAGGATTTTGAGCATAACTTTGCTAGCATGTGAAATGAGTTCAATGGTGCGGTAGTTTGAACATTCTTTGGCATTGCCCTTCTTTGGAATTGGAATGTAAACTGACCTTTTCCAATTCTGTGGCCACTGTTGTGTTTTTCGAATTTGCTGGCATATTGAGTGTAGCACTTTAACTGCATCGTCTTTTAGGATTTTGAGTAGCTCAGCTGGAATACTGTTGCCTCTACTTGCTTTGTTGTTGCTCAGACTTCCTAAGGCCCATTTGACTTCACATTCCAGGATGTCTGGCTCGAGGTCAGTGACCACCCCATTGTGGTTATCAGGGACATTAAGATCTTTCTTGTATAGTTGTTCTGTGTAAACTTGCCACCTCTTCTTAATCTCTTCTGCCTCTGTTAGGTCCCTGCCAGTTTGGTCCTTTATCATGCCCATCTTTGCATGAAACGTTCCCTTCATATCTCCAATTTTCTTGACAAGATCTTTGGTCTTCCCTATTCTATTGTTTTCTTCTATTTCTTTACACTGTTCATTGAAGAAGGCATTCGTATCTCTTCTAGCTATTCTCTGGAATTCTGCATTCAATTGGGTGTATCTTTCTCTTCCTTCTTTGCCTTTCACTTCCCTTCTTCCCTCAGCTATTTGTAAAGGTTCTTCAGACAGCCATTTTGCTTTCTTGCCTTTCTTTTTCTTTGGAATGGTTTTAGTTGCTACCTCTTGTACAATGTTGCAAACCTCTGTCCATAGTTCTTCAGGCACTCTGTCTATCAGATCTATTTCCTTAAATCTGTTTGTCACCTCTACTGTATATTCATCAGGGATATGATTTAGGTCATACCTGAGTGGCCTAGTGCTTTTTCCTACTTTCTTCAATTTAAGCCTAAGTTTTGCAACAAGAAGCTCATGATCTGAGCCACAGTCAGCTCCTGGTCTTGTAGAGAGCTGCTCCATCTTTGGCTACCCCATGGCAAATGTGATCTGTCTCCACAGAAGAGGCAAGAACCAAACTTGGGCTCCAGTTCACCGTATCTGAACATATGAACTCTGCCTTAGGGATTGATCAGAAATGGGAACAGGATAGTGTTGCAACACTACAGTCACATGACATTCAACACATTCATCAGATGCCTGAAAATCTTTAAGTAGCTGGCCTGGGAACTGGTTTCCAGGAAGAATCGGAGGCATGGACCAACCAATTGCTTTCCTGAGAGCTAATTCATGCTGGATGTTCCTCTCTGCCTTCTTAGGGAATGGTAGTTCCCTAAGATGGAGATGGGATGGCACAGTGAGAAGAAAACTGTTAAATAAACTTGCAAGCCAGGATTGACATCTGGTGACCCCAAATATCTTAATACCCTCCTTCTTTGTTTCTTGCTCAGGTCTAAGGATGAGATGGAGCATGATGCTCTTGTGGATGGGAATTTGGCCACAGAGGCCTACATGGTGGTGCTCGATACTCTGGAAATCATTGTGCAGGTATCTGGTGGGGGTTCCAGCTTAGTGCCTACACACCTGGGCAAGGTTGTGGGATTCAGTAGGCATAAGTGGTGCTTTCAGTGTGAGGTTTGTCACTCTTTCTGCTCTTGAACGCTCAGAACTGGCCCTAAGTACCCAGGAAGAGCTGTGTGCTGCTTCTTAGCATAAAGTAGGACCTTGCAGAAACATCTGGCAAGCTTCTGTTCAAAAAACATGAAATAAAATCACAACAAAGAAGGAAAAATTCCAAGGGCAATAGAAAAGTAAAGCCAAATGAGCATGTTTGTCCAAATCTTATTAGTAGGAGAATGTTTTTGGTTATTTTCCTTCAGCTCTCTTGGAATCTTTCCTCCTCTTCATGGTTTTTAGAAACAGCTGGGCAAAGGCAAGAGAAGTCTGGCATGGTGAAGAAGCTAAGGCAAAATGAAGAGGGTGGAGATCCCAAGAAGGATCAAAAGGCCCAGAGAGCTTGTCTGGGCTCCAGCAGTTACAAGCAAACTTTTGGAGCAGAGCAAATGTTAGTGTTTCTTAATGAGTACTTGACACAACCTTTCTTTTTCAGTTCAGATAAGCTGGAGAAGGAACGTTGTTCAGTTTTATTCAAGAAATATTAGTATTAATAATGTGTTTGGAACCATGGGTATTGTGCAGCTGTCTTTCTCATTCTTGTCTTTTCTGTGTCTGTGTTTGAGCAAAGATCACAAGCTGAGATATTTTGATGCAAAGAGGCAAGTCCATGAAGAGTTCAGTCTTGTTTAACCAGCAGAAATAATTCAGTTTGCAAGATTTGGCTTTTTCAGATCTTGGATTTTCTTGGCACTGATTTAAACAGTTCTCTGTGGCAGGAGTTCAGTAATGACAGTTGCATACATTCCCAGGGGCTGAATTTGTTTGATTGGGTCAGGGTTGCATCTCTGCCTTTGCCATTTATGCTGTATGCTGCACTGGTAACACAGGCTAGCCACATGTGGCAGCCCTGCTGTATTACAAAACTGGCATTGCTGCTTCTGAAAGAATTCCTAATTTGAGTCCAGTCTTGTCTTTCTCTGCCCCCTTCCCCATGCTTCTCCCATGCAGACTGTGATCTTGTCAGAAGCCAAGGAAAGTGTCCTGGGCGGGGTGTTAAGGGTGCTTCTGCACAGCATGGGCTGTACACCTAGTGCCGCCTTCCTGGAGCACTGCTTTGCCACCCAGAGAGCACTAGTGAGCAAGGTGAGTGTGCTTACACTAGGGAAGTGTGACAGAAGTCAGTCAGCTGCTTTGCAAAACTTCAGGCCCCACTCCTAAGAGGAGTGAAACTAGAGAGGGACAGTAGGGTGTTCGTGACCAGGCTCTGTTGGCTCTGGTCTCAATTAGAGGCCAGATCCTTTAGGGACCCAGGGGCAGGAAAGCATAGCCTCTTTCTTATTTTTAGCATGCCTGTCCCATTAATCTTTTACTGCCCTCCACCCACCTTTGTGCTTTCTTGCCTTCCCTTTTAAGATCTGCTAGAGAGGCCTTGCTCTCCAGGATGCTGCCTTATTGTAGGATTGCCTAGAACAGTCTTGAGCAGAGTTTACTCTGTTATCGGGCTACAGGTGTGGAACAAAGAGGTCTTTCAGAACCCCCCATTCTGTACAATTCTTGGAGTCACATGAAAGCTTAATTTACAGAGCCTTTGAACAGTAAATCTTGCCATTCTGCAAGATTGATCCTGTGGCTACTAGAGAGCATCTGAGGAGCCAAAGGATTTTTCATTTCCCCTGGATGAAGGTCAGAGGCTGTGCTTTGACCTTGGAGGGGGAATTAGAGCCCTGCCCCACCCCCGCCCCCCATCCAGTGCAGGGAGAACCATGCTGACTGCTCTCTGACGTCAGGAATGGGGCCTTTGAGAAGAGGGTGTTTTGGTGGGCGAGGATCAGAGGAGAGGCCAGGGTAGGAGTTATTCTGAGATCTTTCCAGCATTCTTCCCTTCCCCTGACATGCCCCAACTGGGTTGACAAAAAAGCAGGGCAGGAAGGCAAGGAAGCTCAGATTGCCTCCAGTGCTCCTCCTGTCCTGCCTGAGATCCTCATAAACGTCTGAGTTCAGGAGCCTACAAGGGTGATTGAGGGTGCAGCCCAGACAGTGGCACCCTAATTGTTTGAATACTTTGCTTGTAATATTATAAAGCTGTTGCATTTTATTCTCCTATTACACAGCCTCTTGTCTACTGCCAGTAAAAGTAGTTTTTATCATAGTTTGGTAAAATCACCTGAATCTTGTGCTTACAGTTCCCTGAAATGCTTTTTGAGGAGGACACAGAATTGTGTGCTGACCTGTGCTTGCGCCTTTTACGCCACTGCAGTAGCAGGGTGGGCACCATCCGCACGCATGCAAGCACCTCGCTCTACCTTCTCATGCGACAGAACTTTGAGATTGGCAATGTAAGTGCTAAGGTGGGGTAAGTGGAAGTGTTGCCTAGTGTCTCTTCCACCACAAGGTTTCTTCCAGGGGGCAGGGCAAGGCACAGCAGAGTCCAGGCATTTTAACCAGCCCACTGATCCCTGGGGCATCGACATGTTGCCCATATTTGTTCCCTGCTTCTATTTTTCATCCCTCCCTTGTTGAAATTTAGATTGTAAGCTTCTTGGGGCCAGGGACCTGTTTTTATTGACATGGAATCATAGAATAGTCGAGTCGGAAGGAACCTATAAGACCATCAAGTCCAGCTTCCTGATCAGTGCAGGGCTGCAAGTTAAAGCATCTGTGACAGATGGCTGCCCAACTGCCTCTTGAATGCTTTCAGTGTGGGGAAAACCCACAAGGTAACTGGTTACATTGCAGTACTGTTCTAACAGGAACCTTTTCCTGATGTCTAGCTGAAATCTGGCTTCCCATAACTTAAGTCCATTATTCCATGTCCTGCATTCTGGGATGATTGAGAAAAGATCCTGACCTCTCTCTTTCTCACAGTCTTTCGTGTACTATCATATCTCCTCTCAGTCTTCTCGAGGCTAAACATGGCCACCTCCTTCAATCTCTCCCCATGGGGCTTTGATGCCCTCCTATGATGCCCTCCTATGAACTCTTTCCAGCCTGTCTGCATCTTTCTTGAACTGTGGTGCTCAGAACTGGACATAATACCTCAGATGGGGCCTAACCAGTGCCAAATAGAGGGGAACCAGGCCCTCACATGACTTGGAAGCTATTCTTGTATTAATGAAGCCCAGTGTAGCATTAGCATTTTTGTAGCCACATGATTCTATAAGATACTGTGTGCCCTGATGGTATTGCACATGCATAAAAATAATAAAATGTTTGTGCCTGCCTGGGTCCTTGGTTAATTTCTGCCAGTTAAGAAAGGGGATGCATGCATATCTACCAGTGCCATAGCTCCATCACCATGGGACCAAGAAACCAAAAACTTAGCCTGCATACTAAGGGAATCTTGAGACTTTGATTTTAAAAACTCCCTAATTAATTTTCATTCATATGAATGTGTCCTTGTGTTTGAAGCTCACTAGTGCTTAGCTTTGCAGTCCATGCTATTGTGATGGTGGTGGTGCTGCTGCTACTTTGCATTTATAGCCCACCTTTCTTTCGCTTGAAAAGGAACCCAGGGCAGCTTTCAAAGTTTCTTCCTTTCTATTTATCCCCACAACAAGAACCCTGTGAGGCAGGTTAGGCTGAGAGGCAGTGACTGGCCCAGTCACACAGTGGGCTTCTTAGCTGAGTGGAGACTAGAACCTAGCTCTCCTGAGTCCCAGTCAGCACTCTTAACACACAGGGGAGTAGTCCAAGGGACACGTTTATATGGCTATCCCCCTCCCCACTGTGAGGCATCTCTCCCCTCCTCCATGGCCTAAAGGGAGGCGCTATGGCAGGACTTGTGCCCAGGGGTGCTAGGTGCATAACTTGGCTTGAAGGTTTTGCTTTATCAGACTAGGGCCTCTTCTGACTCAGATGGGGCAGGCACAGTGTGTGTCTGACAGCTGCAAAACTTTGCTTGAAGGTTCCAGTGTATCAGACAAAGGTTTTCCTCCTTTACAGGCCACATGAAGCTGGATCCATTGACTTCATAACAAAGACAGGCAACTGCTATATGAAAGAGAAATAACCTGTACTCCTCTCTTTTACAGAACTTTGCCCGAGTCAAGATGCAGGTCACCATGTCACTCTCCTCACTTGTGGGAACTTCGCAGAACTTTAATGAGGACCACTTGCGGCGCTCACTGAAAACCATCCTGACCTATGCTGAGGAAGATCCAGAGCTACGAGAGACCACCTTTGCTGAGCAGGTACCATTGTCAGCAGACTCATAAATCATAAATAAAGACTAATTTAGCCTTGGCTGGGACTGCCAGCTTCCAACACAGACTGGCCTTCTCCTTATAGAGCTCAAGGTTGGAAACGATGCACATAGCTAGTTCTGCTGTTCTTGTCAAGGAGTGCTGCATCTTTGTTTCCTTTAGGGGCTTGCCTGTTGGACTCCAGACACCAAAAAAGAAAAGAGAGAAACAAATCCCAGATGAATCAATAACATTAGATCATATGTGAGCAACCCATGAGTAGCCCTCAGATCTTCTGTCCTCTGAGGTGCACAAGCCCTTCGAAGCCTTGGTAACTTGTGAGGAAATACAGAAAGCCTCTTCCTCTCCCGCACCAGCAATCCTGATTAAGATGATTGGGGGTGGGAGGGGAAGAGTCTTGACCCTCATTACCTGCCAACCCCTGTGATCCTGATCCAGAGTGGATGATGGTATCTTGTCCATGTCTTTGTCTTGGCCCTACCTGCCAGTCCTACTGCATGCTGTCATTCCCTTGCATCCTTTATCCTAGAACCACTGTCAAATTGCCACCAAGTTTTGGCAGAGGCAACCATTTTGTTAAATTGGGTCTCCCCCAGACCCTCTAAAATTGCGTGTCCCCAGTCTACCACCTATGGCAGATATGCAGGGGAGTAATTTTTCTTCATTATTATTTGTTTTTAGTCTTTTTATGTTATTTAGTCCTTTTATGCTATCTTTTTCCTAAACATCACAAAGACAGCATCCTAAATCAACAAGGGTAAAAAAGCATCATAAAAATATTAAAACCAACAAAAAATGATGAAAAGCATCATAAAAATATTAAAACCAACAAAACATGATGAAGCACAGCACCGTTCCTAAAAACAATTTTAAACAAGTCAAATTAAAAAGACATGCTTTGACACCTTTTCCAAAGGCAGAGAAAATAATGACCAGTCATCTCTCAGGCATGCCCATTTTCACCAGAGGCCCGTCCGGTTTGCCTGCAGCAGTTGTTCTCTCCTGCCTCTTCTTCATAGGTGTCACTGGAAATTGCCTCTCTTTTCTCTGCCCAGGTTCAGGACCTCATCTTCAACCTCCACATGATTCTGACAGACACCGTGAAGATGAAGGAGCACCAGGAGGATCCTGAGATGCTGATCGACCTGATGTACAGGTGAAACAATAGTCTGATATTAGGAACAGAAGTGGTAGGAGGACATGGAGGCAGGTATTGTTGCCAGAGGGCCTGGGATTTTCTGGGTTGAGTCCCAGATCAGCCATGGGCTCACTGGTTAGTTGTTCAAAATCCGGTACCAGCATTGCTTTCCAGCAAGAAATGCTGGAGCTTTCCAGACAGAAAAAGAAATGGTGGTTCTCTTGGTGCTTTCACTTCAATCCACTTCACCCATTGCCAGTAGTGAGGTAACCTCTCCCTCATGTATAGTGGAAACAAGCAGCCTACCCTTGGGAGATAACATTGACTTGGGGGATAATCAGGGTGGCAGGGCTGGAGAAGAGAGAGGTGTAGAGCCTGCAGAGAATATTAAAGAAATTGTTTAATTCATCTGTTTAAATTAATTATTTGGTTTACTCATTTCAGGGGGTGGATGTTTAATTATTACAAGCAGAAAGCACTCACAGTCCGCTTTGAAAACATTTGTTTTGAAAAGTATGTGTGTGTTTAAAAAGCACAGACTGGATATAGGGAACTTCTGTTGCTCATTACAGTGAATGCAGGGGCCTGGTCCAGCAAGCGCTTTGCCATCACAAGCAATGCCTGCACCTTGCACATGAAGCACCACTTCAGTTGGAAGCAGGGTTGCCAGGCTGCTTGCTACAAGTGCCCTAAAAGAGCGTCAGAAGTAACACTGTTTTCAGCGGGAGGAACTAAGGCGGGCCTGATGGATAGCATCCTAAGTAGGGTCGGTGGCAAAGCCAGCACCATCAAACAACTCTCCTCTGTCTGACCATTGTTTGCCCCTCAGGATCGCTAAGGGATACCAGACATCTCCAGACCTGCGTCTGACATGGCTGCAGAACATGGCAGCAAAGCACTCTGAGCGCGGGAACCATGCAGAGGCAGCTCAGTGCCTGGTGCACTCTGCTGCTCTGGTAGCCGAATACCTGAGCATGCTGGAAGACTGCCGTTACCTCCCTGTTGGCTGTGTCACATTCCAGGTAAGAAGCAAAGGGCTTCCCCAGCAAGGGCTGATGTCCTTCCCCGACCCTTCAGTTCCTTCTTAGCTTGGTGCTTGCCCCCAGAGCCCAGTGGAAGAGCCTGAGTGTAGAGTGCTTGGCTTGCAGCTTCCCCCTCTCCAGCTAGAGTGCTCCATTATCACGTTGGAACTGAGGAAAAAGCCCAAAAGCTCCCTGCCCAGCGAGGCCAAAACACTTCCTTGAGGCCCTAAACAACTAGTTTTTGTCTTGCATTTCTGAGGGGCTCCTGGAGAGTAGTGAGTGAGAAGGACCATCTTCCCCTCTGCAATAACTTCTCTTTCTTTCAAAGAACATCTCCTCAAATGTGCTAGAAGAGTCTGCCGTCTCAGATGATGTCCTGTCCCCTGATGAAGAAGGCATCTGCTCTGGAAAGTACTTCACCGAGCAAGGGTTGGTGGGTTTGCTTGAGCAGGCAGCTTCCTCATTTACCATGGTGAGAGCTTAAAATGTGGCATTACTGGCACCTGCTTGCAAAGAAGAGACAGCAGATTGATTCCCAGCACACAAGAACATCCCATGTGTCTGAGTGTGGTAGCTGCAGCTGCTCTGCTAAAGGCAGAACCACGGGAGTGTAGGATAGGGGTGGGGAAGCAGTAGCTCACAGGCCTAACATCCTGCAGACCTTCTCCACTTGGCCCACAAGACCTTGGATTCCTCCACAGGGCAGGATCCTCTTTGCCAGGATTCCCGTGCCGTGCTCCTTCTAGCTGAGAGAGCAAGAGGGGCATATGGAACCCCTCATTATTGCTGATCAGAGATACCAGCAAGGATGTGATGGTCTCAGCTGGCAACTGGAAGAGCAGCTGCTATTCCAGTCCTGACCAAGCCTCTTCACATGCTGTGCACCACCCGCGTAGGAATTTAAGCAGTTGCTTTTCCCAGCAGCAGCTGTATCTCTTCCTTGGTGCTGGAAGAGGCATGTAATTCTGCACCACTCTCAGAACAAAGAAAGATAAAAGGAGGGTATGACATAAGTGGGTGTAGCCACAGCCCCAGCATCATCTCCCCACCTGAAACCTCTCCCCTATCTCTGCTACAGGGAACAGCTTGACCAGACGTGCCTCAGAACACAGCTTGCTATGCCCAAATGGTATGCTATGCTCAGCTTTCTGCTTCCTTTTATACAAGGAAGAGAAGGACGCTAGCTAATAGCTGAGAAGCTGGAATGGTGTGATTGTTTTTTCTAAATGATCAGAGAAGAGGCATTGTTTCTGTGTTTCCCACCACACCCATTTGCAGCTAGCCTTCTTCCTGTACCCTGCCATAACTATTTTCTGTAAAATCCAGTGATCTTTGCTGCAATCTTTGTTTGCACCTAAATTATTTCCAGACTTTTGGGTTGAAGTGCAACAAAAGCACCATTGTTCACCTGGGTGTTTTTCCTTCAAGAAAAAGCACCTTGGCTTTAGGAATGATGCTCGTTCTATTTCTGAACAATATGTTCAGATCAAACACTCTTTGACCCAGGCTTCTCAGTCTCACTTGGTTTCACTGAAGTTTAAATATACACAGCTTTGTACCAGACCTTTTTACAAACTTGCTGTAAAACAAACACAAAAAGTAGACCAATAATCTGGGTGCACAAAGCTTCAGTTGGTGGTAATTGTACATAGTATTTTGCATAGAGCAATATGAATTTGCATAATTCATTCCAGATGAGCAGTAGTTTGTGTGGCATTCCATCCACCCAGGAAATAATTAGGTGCATCTTTCCACTTGGACCCAAACAAACTTATCCTTCAGGATATCTCTTCCAATCATGGTAACGTTTTATCCCTGGGGAGAGAATGACTGCTGATCTTCAGCAGAGCAGCATCCTTAGCCATTAGTCCTGGCCTCAGTTCCTGCTTTCTGCTTCCCTTCTATTCCATGTTGCTCACACAGGGATGTTGAGGCCTATTTGGAAAGAATGGAAGCATTGTCCATCTGCAAAGAGCTCTGGTCTGCGTTGGTTGGAGCTTCTGACTCTTCCATGTGGCTCACAAGCAAGTGTGCCACCCTGTGCTCTGGCAGGAGGACTCAGATATCCTGCCCACTGGGGCAGCTGGCCTGAGATGTCCTTCTGGGGGCTGAGAAGAGCTCAGCTGATTCCAGCTCTTTGGGAATCAGGTGTTTCCAGGCATCACATCAAGTTTCTCCTGATCCTGTGGAGGAGCTGATCTGAGCTTCTTCCTGAGTTGGATGACTCATAATTTGGCTACACCCTGAGTTCCTCATAGGCTGTTTCCCTGCTTGATATCCTTTGAACCGTCTACCTATTTCAGGCCTCAGCTTTGACATACCTGTGCACATTTGTGCATACCTGTCCCATAGTTTCCTCACCTGCTGTTCCACCTGCCTTGCTCCTTAAATGTCATTCTTTGCCCTCTGGATTCCTGTTCCATGTTCTGACTCTCCTCAGGGTGGGCTTTACGAAGCAGTCAATGAGGTCTACAAGATCCTCATCCCCATCCATGAAGCCAACCGGGACTTCAAAAAGTTGGCAGCACTGCATGGCAAACTGCAAGATGCCTTCAGCAAGATAATCAACCAGGTAAGAATACCTTCCAGGGGTTTGTTGCAGGGCCACATTTGGGAAAGCAGGCAGAAGGAGAAGCCAATATCCTCTTCTTGGATGTTTTCCCAGCCACTTTCTTGTCCCATTTCACTACCCATCTCAGAAAAGTATATACAAGTGGACCCAAAGAAGTGAAAACTGCCACAAATGGAGATGGGAAACTAAATAACCCCCATTAGGAGCTGTTGGAACTAGAAACTGTTCACTCGTAGAAGTTTGGAACTAGACATGCCCTCTCATAGAGTTCCTTTCTCACACCTGCTCTGAACTCTGGTAATTGTAATCAATTTGGTTGATTTGTGATTACAGTTACGCTTTGGCATAGACAAGTTGGGCTAGGACAACTTTCCTCCAGGTGTGTTAGACTGCAATCCCAGCATTCCCAGAGAGCATAACCATCACCCATGCTATCTTGGGAATGCTGGGAGTTGCAGTCCAACACATCTGAATGGTGCCAGGTTGTGGGAAGCTGGACTAGGAATTCATACATTACTCTCGGATCATTTGACAGCATTAGAAAAGCTGCCAGATGCTCCCTATTTGCTGAGCTGGACCCCTGCTCAGTCAAGGGAGTAGGCAGCATGAATTCAGTAAAGGGCAGCTGAGAACTCAACATTCTAGGATTTGGTCCTGCTTTAATGGCTTCAGATTTAATGGCTTAATGCTTCTTAGGCTAGGCAAGGCTTCAGAGTCTGAACTTCTGAGTCTCTTAACATCGGAGCTCAAAAGGGAGCTCCACTAATTCCTATAGTTTTCACTTTGCTCTGCTTCAAGCAGCCACAGACTGGATCTTCCCGGAAGAGGGTAGAAAGTGCAGTTAGGAGCCCTGGTAATTGCAGGTAACATCTTTAACCATGTGTCTCTTTTTCTGGGCTAAGGGCATGGGGTGAACTTTCAGGGTCTCATCTTGGTCCAGAGTATGTTAGTCCCCAGGGCAAGTCTTGCAGGTGAGCTTGGATGACACTTGAAAGGCCTTCCTTCTTGTTGACTCCTCAGTATGTCAGTCATGAAGAGATGGCCAACTTTTTCCTGTTTCTTAAGTGCTCCAGTGGCAAGGGAAGGAGTTGGTATTGCAGAAAACTCCCTACTCTTAGAGAATAAACATTGTTCAGATCAAGCTATGGCCATTCATGGCTATGCTTTTGCCTAGCCAATGATCAGCATGTGGCAGACAAGTGCTGAGTGTCAAAGAAATTAACTACCTTCTTCCTGTTTTCTCTGTCCCCCCATCCTCTCCATCCTGTCACTCAGGCCTCTGGCTGGGAGGTAGGCTACAACATGTCTTGCTTCTTCTTTGTCAGTGTTGGTATGAGTGTGCATGCTGCCTCAGTTCTCAGTAATCACCATGCTACCTCTGTGCCCTTATCACAAAGCTGCTCCTCCAGCTGGCCGTTTCAATGCAGATATGTTTGTACAAATTAGGAGTACGTGCTGGCAAAAGGCCAGGAGATGGGGTGGCCCTCCCTTGCAACACAATGCAGGCTGCTGTCAGTGGATGCAATTTTGCCATTAAGATAGAAGGAGGAGCAGGATGGGGGATTAGCATCAAGGAAAGGCACTTTGCTGAGTGGCAAGGTCACACTGGGGGTCCCTGAGGAATAGACTTACAAGCTCTGCAAAGACACTGACAGCCCTCTTGGCTCTGCTGTGCTTCTGGAACCCTTTCCAGTTCATACATTTGAACATAAGAAAAGCCATGCAGGATCAGACCAAAGGTTCCCATAGTCCAGCATGGTCTAGATTTGTGGCAGACATTCCATCATCTAACTGCATGCTGTGTGAGGAAGCACTTGCTTTAATCTGTCCTAAACTTCCCACCAATCAGCTTCATGGGATGACCCCAAGCTATGGGAGGGGGAGAAAATGTCTCCTGCTCCACTTTCTTCACACCTTGCATAATTTTGAACACCTCTATCATGTCTCCTCTTGCTCGCCTTTTTTCTGAGCTGAACAGTCCCAGTTGTTATAGCAACTCCTCTTAGGAGCCACTCCAGACCCCCGGTAATTGTTGTCCTTCTCCGTACTTTTTCCAACTCGATTGAGACTCTGCTTGGTGTTGTCTTGGGCCTGGCAACTTGCTTGGCACAGTTGCCACATTGCATCTTTTCCCGTAGTTGACAGAGCTTGCGCAGTATTTTCAGAAACCGTAGGCCAGATGGGAGGGGTGGTCAGGGATGGTTCTTGGTGCTTGAATAGTGTCTGCATGGCAGTTTCCTGAAGCGCAGATTCTCAGCAGGATGGAAGTGGCCAGGCTTCCCATTCAGGAGGGGGCTCCTCCCCTGTCTTTGCTTGGCTTTAGAAATAGCTTGCACAGTCTGCTGTGCCAGAGGGGGCATGAGGTACCCCATTCCAGTCTAAGGCAATCCCAAGCAGCTGGGCTCAGTTCTAATTCGGTGGGGTTCTTTGGCATGCTGTGCTGCATGAAAGCAGGCAGGCGAATGCCTGGGGCCCTTGGGCCAGCTCCTGCTTAACAGCCATATGCCTTGGAGACATGCAAAGAATCAGTTATTTAATGTCTACCCTTTCAGACTTGCTTGAATGAAGCAGAATTGGGGTACTCCTTAGGACCTGTTTGGAAGATTTATAAGAAATTATATGTTTCCCTTGATTAAGAGGTTTTTCTTAGACTACAGAAATAATAATAGATTTAAGTGTGCCAGCCCAGTCACCACAAGGATATACAGCCACAGGCTCTGAGGAATTTTCAGTGGAACAGTGCTCCATAAACGTAAAGCATTCACTAAATGAGTTTCTGGGCTGCAATTGATGCTGTTGAGGGAGCAGCTTGATCAAGTTTGGGGCTGTATGCAGGCTCTCTCTTACAATTACTGTGGTGCTAGCCCTGGTGCAGTAGTGGTGCCTTGCTAATGATGCAAATGTAAAAGATAAACTTCAGGGCTTATTAGCGCAGAGGGAAAAGTATTTGCTGTTTCACCTCTTCTTCCAGTTGCCCAGGAGTCAGTAAAACTGCTTTAGGGATCTCATGTGTGCTTGTGTGTGTGCAGACACCGAGAGAGGAGCACCATGTAGTGTTCATCACTAGTGATACAGTAGGTGTTCTCCATGGCACTTGTATAAGCATCTGCTACAGCTAGAACAGGTGCTGGCTTCCCTAGATACTGCTTGAAATGCTCTGGATCTAGAGAGAGTCTGTTGAGACTGGAAAATGACAAGTGTACAGAACACAGCAGTCACTCTACAGAACCATCCAGAGGTCTCTGGAGGTTCATTTTGCACAGCCTTAGAGGATACCGTGATTTCTACAGGATAAGAGGTGGCCTCAATGGTATCTAGGACTCTGAAGAATAAAACATTGAGATGGTCTTTCTGCCATCAGCCCTTCTCTCTGTTGGCAGTGACTGTGCTCCAGTAGTTGCTGTACTTTTCCTAATGTCTCTTTCTTATTTTGCTCCCCTTCAACTTCTCAATTCTGCCATCTGCTCTTGATCCCGACCCAATTTGGTAAGTTGAAGCATGTCTCTTGAAATGTTACTATTGCAGGCAATCTATTTTGTATTCATTAAGATGGCACTGTAAAATGTTAGGGGAGGAAGCTTCAGGGGAGGTCCTAGAACTGTAGGCCCTGATTGTGCCAACTGTTTTGGGCTACTTTCAGATGGGGGCACAGGTAAAGAGCTTGCCTGTTATTTCTAAGTGAAGTTCTAAAGGACTGTCAAAACCCAGTGGTCACTGAAGCAGTTCTTCGTGGACCTAATAAAAATATGAACAATAATGTGGCCTCATAGCATTCAAGCACCAGATTTACTTGCAAGATGATACCTGAGTACAGAAAATCCAAGGGAGGGAGAGAAGAGCTAGGAGGAGGGTGAGTGGGTGGTTTGGTAAGGAGGATTTTATAGCCAGCATTCAAATTACCAGCCTGAGTCTTCACATGGTAATTCTCCCATCCACTTAGGTCACTTAGAGAATGTTTGGAACATATTTCCGGGTTGGTTTTTATGGCAGCAAGTTTGGGGACCTGGATGAGCAAGAGTTTGTTTACAAGGAACCCTCCATCACCAAATTAGCTGAAATCTCTCATCGACTTGAGGTAAGAAGTATCCTTGAGTGCCCTTGAAAGAGGTATTGATCAAGTAATCACACAGTGAGCGTGGAGAGGATGTACCCCAGCACTATGGAGAAGGCATATGGAAGAGGGGCAAGCCAACATCTGGTTAGCCTTATGTCCATTTTGGGAAAGACAATGGAACGGCTCAGAATAGTGAGAGATCTAGTAACCCTAGATAGGGAAGGGAGGTTGCTGGCCATGTAACACGGTTTCTGCAAAAACAGGTCCTGCCAAACAAACCATGTGGAATACTATGACAGGGTTTCAAGGTGGCCAGATAGAGGGGATGCAGTGGATGTGGTTTACCTGGATTTCATCAAGGCCTTTGACAAAGTGCCCCATGATGTCCTGGTTGAGAAATTGAGGAGTTTTGGGATAGACCAATGCATTGTCCGATGGATTAGGGCATGGCTGATGGACCGAAAGCAGAGGGTAACTATTAGTGGAGAATCATCGGGATGGCAGCCAGTGACGAGCGGAGTCCCCCAGAGCTCTGTCCTGGGACCTATCTTGTTCAATCTTTTCATCAATGACCTGGAAGAGGGGGTGACCAGCCTGCTGATCAAATTTGCAGACAATGCTAAAATTGGGGCAGTGGCCACACTGATGAGCAGGTACTCTGGATCCAGAAGGATCTGGACAGACTATGGAAGTGGGCAGGGGACAAATGGATGGCGTTCAATGTGAATAAGTGCAAGGTCTTGCACTTGGGGCATAGGAATGGGTGTCACAGGTACAGGATGGGGGACAAGTGGCTGGAGAGCAGCACTTGTGAAAGGGATCTTGGGGTACTGGTCGACTGTAGGCTAGACATGAGTCAGCAGTGTGACACGGCAGTCAAGAGGGCAAATGCCACTACTGGTTGCATACCCAGAAGCATGGCTTCTAGATCTACTACTCTATGTGACTCTGGTGAGCCCACAACTGGAGAATTGTATTCATTTCTGGGCTTCACGCTACAGGAAAGATACAGCCAGGTTAGAATCGGTGCAGCATAGGGCCACAAAGATGGTGGCCAGATTGTGGGGGAAGCTATATGAGGTGAAACTGAAGGAGCTGGGACTTTTCAGCCTGGAGAAGAGGGGACTCCAGGGGCATCTGTTGGTGGCATATAGGTATGTGAGAGAGTGCCACACAGAGATGGACAGAGACCTGTTTTCCCCTGCAGAGGAGGGCAGGATATGTACCAATGGAGCAAAAATCAGCGAACCAGGGTTCCATTTAGATGCCAGGAAGCACTTCTGACAGTTAGGACCCCGAGGGAATGGAATGGGCTTCCACAGGATGTGGTTGAAGCCCCATCGTGAGGGTGTTCAAGGATAGGCTAGGCATGCACATGGTGGGCATGTCATGAGCAGAGCCAGCTGGACCCGGGAATCAAACTAGATGGCCTGGGAGACCCCTTCTGACTCACTCTGTTTCTGTGTTTCTAACAAAGAGGCTAGGTGGATGGGAACATAGTAGGCTTGCACACTTTGAAAAGGCTGTCAGTGGGGAGGTTGAAAGTGGCTGTCATGCTGGACTTCATGATCTTCAGGAGAATAAGGGGTAAAGATCCAAAAAGCCACAGTGAACCAAAAGTGGTGCACAATCACAATAAGTAGAGAAGCAAGCTAATATCAGCCACCCACAGATGCTACTCGCGCACTTGTGTGGTGATTGGCATTGGCAGGTCCCTGGGCAGGTTTGGGAACAGCAAGGGGGGTTTACTGTTCTTGCCAGGTGGCTCACTGTCCAATTTCAGGTACCCACAATAGGGCCAGTTGCTCAGGTTTGGACCACAGAGAACTCATTGTAGATGCAACTCTAGAAGAACTCAGGGGTTGCCAGGATGGCTTGTAACCCTCAAACAAGCTATCCTGCAGGCGCAACAACCCATTGTGTGTAACAGTGTATGATGGGCTGTCATGTGTGAATCCGGTCAATGTCCATCATTGTGTGGTTAATGGCTGCCCGTATTACTTGTACATCTGACATAGGTGTGCTTAGAAGTGCCTGCCACCTCTGTTTTTCAAGCACACGTATCCACTGTACATTACGCAGTTGTGTGCTGGCCAGTTCAGTTGATCTACCTACAAATTAAATCCTATTTATTATTTAGATAACATCATCAATGCAAGTGGTGCTTTTACAAAATTAAAAACATTGGTCCTGGTCCAGTGGATGTCATCATCTAAAATTTGACCCTCCAGTGGGCAAAACAAGATGCAGGTGAAGGAAATGGGGAGAGTTCAATTGGACTCTGGAATTCATTTGAATTGAGCTCAGTTCAGTACATTTGGGCATAGTACATATTCCTTGTTAGAGTTTCCTCATGCTTAACTGCATGGTGGGGACCAGGCGGTTGTGCTAATGTCTGTTCTCTCTGTTTCTAAGCATTTAACCTGCATCTTTTCTGCTTGTCTTGCTGAGAAAGGTGCAGTAGTTAGCATGGCCAAAGCAGTATTGAAGGAGGGAAGACTCCGTTACACGAACCATGCTGTTTCCCACCACTGCCTGTTTCTGGCCAGAAAACTCTCCCAGCAGCACATGCAGATGCCTCCCAATGCTGCCCTGTGTTGCTGGCTGTTTAACCAGGTGGCAGTAGCGGCCCACATTGAGGCTGCCAGTTGGAATCCCTTTCCAGACTGGAGCTACCCGCTTCCCAGTTTGCCATGTCCAGAACGGTACCATCTCCCTAACCCTGGCCTTGGTGGCTCCTGGCACAGGTCTTGTGCACTGCAGTCCAAGCACAAGCAAGATGACAGTAGAGAGGAGGGGGCTGTGGCTCCACTCTGTGGCCCCTGTCTGCATGGCTCCCAGTTACTGTGCCCATTGTTTATTCTGGGGGCCAGGGCTACTGGATGCGTATTACTGAAACCTGCTTGCCCATTCAGCTGTGGAGTGGCAGGGGAGGGGCCTCCTTTCTTTTTACAAAGTAAATGTGGGAAGCTTGGGAGGAAAGCAGAAGCCATATCCTTCCCTCCTTACTTGCTGTAAACCAGATGCTTTAAGGGTTACAACACCTGAGCTATAGGGCGAGGGAAATAGACTAGTGGGAAATTAACCAGTGGACCCATTTTCCTTCATCTTGTTTCACTTCTCATGTCTGAGCTGGGCCTGGGGGAGGTTAGTTAAAAACATCGAGTGGCAGAGAGAGCAGCTTTTGCTTTCCTTACCAGTATGCCCATTTTAATACATGAGCCTCTGCCTCAAAGCTAAGCTGATGAGTACACATTTCATAAACACAAGTGGCATCCAGTTAAGCCTTGAGAATCACAGAATAACCCTCCCTCCATGAAAACTCCTTGGCTCTGGCGACTGAAGACACCCAAAGTGGTCTCTGTCCTTGTTTCCTAGCTCTAAAGAACTTTCTGGTCTCCCTTTGCCTTGCAGGAGTTTTACGCTGAGCGTTTTGGCCATGAAATGGTAGAAATCATCAAAGGCTCCAACCCTGTGGACAAGGTCAAGCTGGATCCCAACAAGGTAGTTTCTGCTGTGCATTGCATTAGAAGATCAGGCATATCCAAGACACTCTTGGCTCCATTCTGATTCTGGTTGGTATGGAATATCCAAAGAAAGAACGTCTTTCCCTGGTGACCTATAACTGTCTCGCTTGTTCAGCAGGGAAGAGTTAATGTGCTCATATCAGAGACACTTCCCAGACAAGTGCCCCATGGCATGTGTGGTAAGAGGTGACTGGCCACCTTCCTTCTCCCATGCCCCATGTACTGCAGCAGGGATGACATGCCCCTGTCACTGCCAGACCCTGAGCTTGTCTGTAGGAGACTGACATTGCAGGATACACCAAGAAGTAGCAAGGGTCGGGCCAGTGGGCCGGTTTTCTCCTTGGCCCATGACTGAACATGGGTCAGAGCCTGTCTTAATCCAGGTTTGGCTAGAATTGCTTGCTCTCATTTGGTCCCAGTGTCTTGGCAGTTCATGGCAAAAAGATGCTTAGTGGCACAGAGGGCGATGCTGCCCTTTCCTTCCCTGACAACCTTCCTCGGGTGGTCTTTTCTGCCGTAGGCCTACATCCAGTTGACTTACGTAGAACCATTCTTTGACACATATGAGCTGAAGGATCGTATCACATACTTTGACAAGAACTACAATCTGCGCACGTTCATGTTTTGTACACCATTCACGCTGGATGGACGAGCACATGGAGACCTGCACGAGCAGTTCAAGCGCAAGACACTGCTTACCACCTCCCACGCCTTCCCCTATGTTAAAACTCGGATCAACGTCATCCATAAGGAGGAGGTGATTTGGGGTGTGCGTGAGGGGAGTGCTGAGGGGAGCAACAAGGAGTGGGTTATGCACAGAGCTCGATCTACTGCCATTCTGGGGAATCAAGGGGGCATTGAATTTGGTGTGTAATATAAAGCTCAGCTTTCTAAGAGTCGCCACTTTCTGGTTTTGATCTTTGAGCACCTCTCTAGCCCTGGTGGCTGTAGCAGTACGCTTGAAAGTTTGTGAGGAATGCATGCTGAGCTCTCAAGGACAGAGAAGCAGCTCAGAACCATTTCCATTGCTTCAATGCGGGGGAGGGGGATTCAGTGTTCTGCAAAGCTTATGCAATAATTCTTTTTCCATATATTGTGCACCATATATGCAAAATGTTTACTACTTTGAATAAATTATGCAGAATAGTGCACATTGCTGGATAAACACTGGGGAGGCCATACAAATGGACTCAATGCAGTTCACAGAATTTAACTTCTGTTATTTTGGATTGAGACTGTAATTTGGATTGAGACTGTAATTGCTCTTGATAGTTGCTTAATGTGTACCAAGTATGTGCACACCCCTGGACACAACACAGGAAATATCCTGGCCTTCTGCTTCTGTTTCCATTTTTTTGTTTTGTGTCCCCAGATTATTCTTACACCCATTGAAGTAGCTATTGAGGACATGCAGAAGAAGACCCAAGAGCTGGCCTTTGCCACTCACCAAGATCCAGCTGATGCCAAGATGTTGCAGATGGTGCTACAGGGATGTGTAGGCACAATAGTCAACCAAGTATGATTTATTTATTTATTAGGGTATTTTTATCCCTTCTATATTACATTGCACATCTCTGGACAGCTTACAAATCAACATCCAATAAATACCTATAAACCCAAATAATCCATAATAATCCACAACTGAGCATAAAACATAGTTAAAATATTTAAACATTGAAATTACGGGAAAATAAAAAGATCTTGACCTGGCACCGAAAAGCATGTAATGTCAGCGCCAGGTAGACCTCTCTGGGGAATGCATTCCATAGCCAGGGCACCACCACAGAGAAGACCTTCCTCCAAGTATATTCTCTCCTAACTTCCTTCAAGGAGGTTTCCTGGAGCAGGGCCTCTGCTGCAGATCTTAATGGGCATGTAGGGAAAGAGATGCTCCTTTAGGTATCCTGGTCTCAAGCCATTTATTTATTCAAAGCTTTTATATGCTGTCACCACATGCCTCGGTATCTCGGGACGGCTCACAAATGTACAATTAAAAACAATAAAACAATCCAAATTCCATAAAATTATGTAAAAACAAAAAGCAACTGTTAACGTTACAAATATTAATTTTTAAAATAACAAAGGTTTCAACCTGGCACTGAAAAGAATATAAACTCGACACCAAGCGCCACCGCAGAGAAAGCGCTGCTCTGGGTAGTTGTTCTCTTTATCTACTTTAAAGAGGGCTCCTGGAGCAAAGCCTCACAGATCTTAAGGGGCGTGAGGGCATGTACGGGAAGAGGTGCTCCTTCAGGGATCCTTGTCCCAAGCTGTTCAGGGCTTTCTAGTTAAAACCAGCACCTTGAATTGGGCCCAGACTTCAAATGGAAGCCAGTGGTGGAGGACCGGCGTTATATGAGAATAATGACCAGTCCCTGTCAGCAACCTGGCAGCTGAAGTATCCAGGCCGTCTTCAAAGGCAGCCCCACATAGAGCGCATCACAGTAATCCAACCGGGAGGTTACCAGCGCATGAATCACTGTTGCTAGGCAGTGTTTGTCCAGGTAAGGGCACAGCTGGTGGATCAGCCAAAGCCGTAGGAAAGCATTTCTCGCCAACGCCGCCACCTGGGCTTCCAGGGATGGCTCTGGGTCGAGGGGCACTCCCAATCTGCGGACCCTGTCCTTTAGAGGGAGTGCAACCCCATCCAGGACTGGGCCAAAATCACTTACCTGAAAACCTGAACCACCTACCAAAAGGACCTCTGTCTTCTCTGGATTGAGTTTCAGTTTATTGACCCTCATCCAGCCCATTACCTCAGCCAGGCACTGGTTCAGGACAGCCACTGCCTCACCTGGATTAGTTGTAAGATAGAGGTAGAGCTGGGTGTCATCCGTGTACTGGTGACTCCTCAGCCCAAACCTCCTGATGACCTCTCCCAGTAGTTTCATGTAGATGTTAAATAGCAAAGGGGACAAAATGGTACTCCATGGTGAAGTTGCCATGGCACAGAGCCATAGTCCCCCAGCATCACCTTCTGGAATTGGCCAGCCAAATAAGAGCGGAACCACTGCCACGCAGTGCCTCCTACTCCCAGTGTGGCCAGCCTATCCAGAAGGATACCATGGTCGATGGTATCAAAAGCCACCGAGAGGTCCAGGAGAACCAACAGGGATGCAATCCCCCTGTCCCTCTCCCTGCACAGGTCATCATACAGGGCAACCAAGGTAGATTTAGTACCTGGGTCTGAAACTGGACTGAAATGGGTCCAGATAATCAGTTTCATCCAAGAGTCCCTGGAGTTGTCCCGCCACCACCCACTCCAACACCTTGCCCAGGAACGGAATGTTGTCCACTAGTCTATAATTGGTGGCCACCTCTGGGTCCAAGGACACCTTCCTCAGGATGGGCTTGATCACCTCCTCCTTCAAAGGGGCAGGAATCTGGCCCTCCCTCAGAGAAGCGTTAATAACCTCCTGGACCCAGGTACCATTTCCATGTTTGGCTTTGGTAAGTAGCCAGGAAGGGTAAGGGTTGAGCAAGCAGGTGGTAGGGCATACTAGTCCAAGCACCTGGTCCACATCATCAGGCCGCAGCAGCTGGAACTCATCCAACAGTGATGGCCCAGATGGGGCTCTGGAGACTTCCTGTAATGGAACTGTATCAACTGTCAAATACAGCTCGTGACAAATCTGAGCCATTTTCTCCTTAAAATGCTGGGCAAAATCATCACAGCAGGCTCTTGATGGTACCACCGGATCTTTATTAGGGCCAGAGTGTATCAGGCCATGCACCACTTGAAAAAGCTCCGCTGGATGGCATTGTGAGGAGGCAATGGAAGTGGAGAAGAATTTCTTCTTCACCGCCCTTACCACCACAGCATAGGCTTGCTAATGAGCACATACTGTATATGTGTTCGGTTAGATTCATCCTGTGATTTCCTCCACCTGCACTCGAATCGTGTCTCAGCCTGCTTCATTGCCCGTAACTCAGGTGCATACCATGGTGATGAGCGGGCTCTGCTTGGTGGGAGAGGATGCTTAGGAGTGATCGTGTTGATTGCCCTGGTCATTTCCCCATTCCACAAATCGACCAGAGCATCAATAGGAGTGGCAGCTTTATCAACTGGAAAATCCCCCAGAGCCCTCAGGAATCCATCAGGATCCATATGGCTCCGGGTGCAAACCATCTTAATAGGAAGGTTAGCTCCGAGCTCAAACCTCACTTCAAGATCACCATCTTCCTACCCTGACGAAAAAACCAGGTCCAGAGTATGACCTCTGTCATGGGTTGGACTGGTGACATGTTGAGACAGCCCCATGGCTGTCATGGAAGCCATGAAGTCCTGAGCTGCCCCAGTCAGAAACAGCCTCGGCATGGAGAATGAAGTCCCCCAGAACCAACATCCTGGGGATCCTCAACACCAGGTCCGAGACGATCTCCGTCAGCTCAGGTAGGGACTCTGATGAGCAGAAGGGTGCACAGTACACTAGCAGAATCCCTAATCTGTCTCGATTACCCAATGCCAGGTACAAACACTCTAGACCCAGTCTCAAAGCCCAGTGAGGGAAATTGAAACTTGATGAATTAGGGTGACTCACCCCCCTCAGGGCATGGATGGTGCTGGATCAGGTACCCGGGTGGACACAGTTGACTAAGGGAGACATCCCTCCCTTTTCCTGCCCAGGTCTCCGTAATGCACTCGAGGTCAGCCCACTCATCCACGATTAAATCGTGGATGAGGAATGTTTTATTATGGACCAACCTGGCGTTCAACAACAGCACCGTCAGGCCTGAGGGGCAGTTGATAAAACTACCTGGAACCCTCCAGTTGGGGGAATAACCAGAAGAGGGGACAGATGCTAAATATCTGTCCCTCCTTCTTCTTAGCTAACTTGTTAGACCCCACCACCGCCATTTCTTTCCCTGCCCTTTTCCTCCCCAGTGGTGGCACCCATGCACTCCCCAGTCACACCCATAACTTATTAAAACCTAGCAATAACAATAAAATACAGCTCAGTCATTGTATACAGTAAGATTAAAATGCATTAAACTTAAAATCCCCAGACACCCCCCCCCCCCCCGTGACAAAAGAGCAGAGTCCCTGGCCCAGCCCCACCAGCCCTAAACAGTCCCAAACAGCTCAATGCCCTTCGGCCGCTGGCCCTAGGCCATGGCCCGCGAGATATAGGCCGCAGCCCCTCCCCCACAGCCAGCACCTTCCCCTGGCCCAGCTGCCACCTGCGCCGGGAGTCGAGGCAGTTGGAGCAGTGAGGGCAGGCCCATGGGGAGCTCACCAGCAGCAGCAAAGAGGAAGGAGGGAGGGGGAGGGGGAGGAAAATGGCGGTGCAGCAGCAGTAGCATCATCCCAGCCTTCACAGCATTCCCAGCCTCGCAGCAGCCCTGTCCACAGCGCTGGCAGGGTCTGCAGCGTCGTCTTTGGGGTGGCGAAGCAGGGGGCGCTGGTGAGGCCAGTCCCAGTACTCATGGTGGGAATTGGTGATGTATTGGGAGCAATAAAGAAGGTTCAGGTCAAGCTAGCAAACCTGCTGGGACTGTGGGAAAACAGCAGATGGGGGCAGGGGTGAGAGAAGAGTCTAACTCCACCTCGAGGAGGAGTAATAAGCGGTCTGGGATGAAACTGAGGGAATGAGCAGGAGAAGGACTCATGGATCATGTCGAAGAGTCTTGCAGCACTACGGCACCCAGGAGTGGGCAACTGATTTGGAAGTGAGGTCGTGTGCAGGGGGGAAGGCCACGGAAGGAAGGCTTTCCCTCTTCTCTTGGACTCTGAGCTGAGACTGAGGCACCACCTTCATTGCAACCTCATGGCCTGTGTGTTCCAGGGTCCTCTGGAAGTGGCGCAGGTATTTTTGGCTGAGATCCCTGATGACCCCAAGCTGTATCGGCATCACAACAAGCTCCGGCTTTGCTTCAAGGATTTTACAAAGAGGTACTGCTCAAGCACATTTGCCCTGAAGCTGACGGCAGGGGCAGAACTGACGGGGGTGCATGCCAGATGACCCTCCCACCCAAGTCCTCCACAAAGTTGTTGATGCTGTTCGTTTTCTGTTCAGAGTGCTGAGAGGATGTCCTTTTCTCCATTGGGCCCAAGGATGGACTCCACTGAGCAAGGGCTTTCACCCTGGAGGAAACTCTGTGTACAAGGCAGCTGGGCTAGCCCTGCCCCTGTTGCTTCTTGGCACTGGAAGGACCTCAGATGAGGTACCAAGTGAACCTATCTGGAGAGGGTGTTCCAAAGCTGAGGTGCGACTACTGAAGAGCCCTTTTCCAGTGTTCACCTGTTGCACCTCACTTGGTGGAGGAACCTGGAAAAGGCCTCTGAAGTTAATTTCCAAGTAGGTATGTGTGGGAAGAGGTGAGCCTTCCAGTGACCTGATCTCAAGTTTTGGGTGGAATGAGCAGCATTTTGAATTGAACAGAAATAGAAGGCCAGTGCAGATGATAAAGTTCTGTTGTACTATGATGAAAGTCTTGGTATCCTATAGTGGACTAGCTGAATTTTGGACCATTTTCAAAGGCAGCCCCACATATCCTAATGTGTGATACTGTCACATAAACATGTTCACCCTTTACTTAGAATGACCACTATTCCTAAAGTCCTCTCTTTCTGATTCATTCACTGTGTGTGCAGCTTTTTCCTCTCACCACAAGAGGTAGGAAGGAAGACAGAGTTCCTCTAGTTTGGTAAGGAACTCATGAATGCTACTTCTTTTGCACAAGCTTCCTACACAGGCAGCTGCAGTACAGTTAGTCTGAGTCTGCCATCAGTTCAACCAAGACAAAAGCCTGACTGGATCTGTGGAAGGAGGAGAGTGCAGGGTACATTTGAAGGTGCCCATCTCAAGAAGTAGCAGAGGGCTGAGGCACATGTGGCCCTCCAGTTGTTGTGGGACTGCAGCTCACCTCTGTCCCAGGTAGCATAGGCAATATGGCAGTAAGGGATAAAGGGTAGTCCAGCAATATCTGGAAGGCCACACATTCCTCATCACTAAAGCGGAGATTTGTTCCTCCTGGCTTGTAGTGCTCTCCTTCTAGAAAGATGAAAGTGGTTGAATCATAGAACAGCAGATTTGGAAGGGGCCAGGAAGGCCATTGGGTCCAACCCCTGCTGTTGCAGGTCACCAGTTTACACTATTTCACTCAGATGGCTGTCCAATTTCACCTCTCTAGGCAGCTGGTTCCACTGTTGTATTGCTCCGACAGTGAGAAAGCTTTTCCTGATGTCCAGCCTGAATCTGGGTTGTCACAGCTTGACTTGATTATTCTGTGTCCTACATGCTGGCATCAGTAAGAAGAGATCTTGACCTTCCTTTTTGTGGCAGCCTTTGAGGTACTTACAGAGGGATAGCAGGTCCCCCCTCAATCTTCTCTTCTCAAGGCTGAACATGCCTGGTTCTCTCAGTCTCTCCTCATAGGGCAGTGTTTCCAAACCCTGGATCATTTTTGCTGCCCTCCACTGGACCCTTTCTAATTTACCTGCACCTTTCTTAAATCTTGGTTCCCAGAACTGAACACAGTATTCCAGGTCAGCTCTGACTAGTGAGGAGTATAGAGGAACTACTACTACTCTGAATGCATCCCAAAATAGAATTTGCCCCCTTTTGCAGCTGCATCACATTGTTGGCTCATATTTAGTCTGTTGTTCATAACTCCAAGGTCTTTTTCCATTCTGTTGAGCCACATATCCCCCATCTTGTATTGCTGCATTTGGTTTCTTTTTCCTAGCTGGAGGACTTTGTACTTATCCTTATTGAATCTCATTCTGTTGCTTTCAGCCCAGCATTCAAATTTATCAAGATCACCCTGGATCTTCATTCTGTCTTCTGGGGTGTTTGCTATTTCACTTAGTTTTTGTATCATCTGCAGGTTTGATTATTGTTCCTTGTACTTCTTCATCCAAATCCTTAATGAAGATGTTGAAGAACACTGGGCCCAGGACTGAATCCTGTGGCACCCCTCTAGTTACCTCCATCCAATCTGAGAAGGTGCCATTGATGAGCACACTTTGCATCTGATTTAGCAGCCAATTTTGGATCCACCTAATAGTTTTTCTATCTAGTCCACTTTTTGCTAATTTGCTTATTGGAATGTCATGGGGTACTATGTTGAAAACTTTGCTAAAGTTGAGGTAGATTACATCCACAGTGTTCCCTCTGTCCATTTGCGAGGTAACCCAGTCAAAAGATGAGATTACATTAGTCTGGCAGGAATTATTTTATTTTCCATGTTGGCTTTTATTAATCACTGCATTTTTTCAAGGTGTTTACACACTGATTTTTGCTGCAGAATTTTTCAAGGGATTAATGTCAGATTAACTGGTTTGTACTTGCCAGGTTTGTCTTTCTTCCCTTTCTTGAAGATGGGGACAATGTTAGCCTTTCTCCAGTTGTCTGGCATGTCTTCTGTTTTCTCCAAGAATCTCAAAGATAATAGCCAGTGGTTCTGAGAGTTCCTCTGCTAGCTCTTTTATGACTCTCGGATGGAGTTCATTGGGCTCTGGAGATTTGAACTCATTTAACCCAGGTTGAAGATCCTTGACCATTTGTCTGTCAGTCTTGGGCTGCCAGCTCTCACTTTCAGCTTGTACCTCCTCTTTGCTGTAATTTTCTTGTGGGAGAAGACTGAGGAAAAATAGGAATTCAGCATCTCCACCTTTTCCTTGTCGTCTAATATCACTCTGCCATCCACTTGTCAGGCAGGACCTGACAAGCAGCACCCCCCAGATCTGGATAGAATGGAGTGCTGTAGTGGCTCAGAGCTTCACAGGTGACACCTCTCAGAACTGCCTGCTTTGACACACGTTGCTATTGCACAGACAAAACAAAGCACCTGCTGTTGTCAGGGTGTCATAAAAGAGTTCTTTCTTGGTTGCTTTTTGCTAAGGAATAGCAACATCACAGGGCAGGGGTGGCTTCTGAGAGGATCGAGGTATGGGGAAAAGTATCTGTGCTCTTAAATTCTTTGCCTGCCATGGTCCCAGCCCTGTTCGGAAATCCCCTCAGCCATTGTTTTTTTTAAAAAAACAGAGCTACACTCTTGTCTAGTTTGGCCTCTTCTGTGACCCTTTAAAGAGCAGAACTTTACTTTCAGTGGGGTTAGTCATGCCTGCTTTTCTCGAACACTGAAAACCCCAAGACTGGCCTTGCTCTGCTCCATTCCTGGCATGGGCCCGGCACCCAAAACCTCTCCTTAAATGTGACCAAGAGATGTTGTATTGTGGGAGTAGAGCAGCCCCTCTGCGTTGATAATACTTCCAGCTGCAGCTGCTGTTTCCTGTGCCACTGGCATAAATCCCCATGTGGGCGATCGTTAGTGTCGAGATTTTGGATGATCTGTATATGAAAGAATTCCAACTGGATGCCTGCATAATTGTAGGAATTGAGATTCAACTTGCACCCAGAAACAGCAGCCCAGCAGTGGTTAGTGTGCATTCCAGTTCAGTGAGAGAGCCAGTGTAGCTAAAAGACTCTGCTGTGAACCCAATTCAGATCTTGCCCCTGCCATGAACTCAGTCGATAGACTTAAGCAAGCTACCATTCTCTGACATTTCAGGGTCAGAGAATGTGTGGTCCTCCAGATATTGTTGGCTGCAGCCAGTATGGCTGGTAGTCAGGGATGATGGGAGTTGTGAGCCAACATCTGGCCTGTTGTTGCATTATTAGATAGTTTTTCCCTCCAACAAATAATACTAACTCATCTGGATGACTCAACAAGCCATGCCTAGGATGGTAATTAGGCAAATGATGCTCTGTACTTATTGGCAGCTTAAACATGGAACTTCTCAAGAAGGGAGGGCTAAGGTTGGCTAGTCATTGCTGACCACCTTGTATATGAGGTTTTGATGACTTTTAAAATCAAGGGGGTTGGTTCTTGTTGGTCCTCTACTAGGGTTATGCCTTTGTCTTTTGCCTATGACATGTGGGCTCTAGTGAATTGGTTTTGCAAGATCTCAGTACAGTGTGTGTGAAAGAAAGAGATTGGCACAAGACACTCTGTTGGTTGACTAGATTTATATCACTTGGAAGGCCCAAGGCAACTAAAAGAAGCTACCAATATTTAAATCAACTAGTTTCAGTACTACAGCACAGAACCAGTAAAAGTCTATATGGCCACAATTCCAGCAGCTTAAAGAACAGAGGCTTGTTAAAATATGGGTGCTTAAGCAACCAGCTCCCAACAACACTGAGCCAGATAATAGGAGTGCTTCCTCCAACACCTCCTGAGCAGTTTTGTAACTGGGCATGATGGAAACTGTGGGGTGTCATCAAAGACACCATATCTTATGTTTGTGAAAGCTTTAAAAAGCTGCTGGCCAAGATGTTCCAGAGTTGATTTGCAGTGCATTCTTAGCCATGTCTACTCAGAAGTAAAGCAGATTGCGTTTGATTGGACTTTTCCTAGGGAATCTTCCTCAGGCTGGTGCCCTCCAGACATGCAGGACTGCAGCAGCCCAGTCAGTGGCCATGATGGCTAGGAACAGTGTCTAGAGGGCAGAAGGCTGGGGCATAGGGTTCTGGCCTTAGCCCTGCACTGGGGCTACCTCAAGTCTTAACCTGGTTTCTGACTTTTTTAGGTGTGAAGATGCTCTTCGAAAAAGTAAGACACTGATTGGACCAGACCAGCGTGAGTTTCTCCGAGAGCTGGAGAGGAACTATCAGCGCCTAAAGGAAGCTCTGAGCCCACTTCTCAACCGCAAAATCCCTCAACTCTACACCCCTGTTGCACCCCATTCTGCACACAGGTGACTTATGGCATGAATTAAGGGGTCACACATGCAGAGAGACACTCAAAGGGCTTTCAGGCTAAATGGACAATTATCAGTGGCAGTCACAGAAAGTCCTGCAAGTGTCTCTCTTAAGCACCTCTCTTCCTGGTTCTGTTGATCTTCAGCATTCCCTCTGGAAGAGATCTTCCTGAGAAGCCCAGAAAGGGCTGCAGGGACATCTGTGCAGAGAGGACACAATCTGTGGGGCGTTCCTCCTCCCCAAGTGAAGGTATTCTGCTCTTCTTTGGCAGTTCTCCAGGGTATGTGCTATTCCTGTTGCATTGTGTCCAGAGGTCTAGAAAGCTACATGCCATAGAGCACAGCAGACGTTGCTTATATCTTGTCGCTTACCAAATGCATTTCTAGTCCTTTACAACCTGGAGCCATATCCCTAGTTTCTGCTTAATGGTGTTTATGTAAAATACCTCGTTTGCTGGTTCTGTTAGTTCTTCCACCCATTAAATTTGTATCTCAGCTTTAGTTTGGAGGGAGCATTAGTGTAGGCCTTCCCAGTCACATAGTTGGGTGGCAGTAGATGGGCATGAAGTCAAAGCAGGACCATCTGTCCCCCAGCATAAAGAAAGGGGAAATTTGTTTGGGATCTCTTTTCCCTGTCCCATTACCTTCTCTCCCCTTCTGCCTCCTGCAATAGTGTCCATGCTCTCAGAGCATCTTTTGGTAACATTCAAAATCTCTCTCATGAGGGTGGCCACAGCAGGCGGAGTTCGCAATTTTAGTAGAATGGTTTTACTGGTTCAGTAGCATTTACGCCTCAGCTATTTATACATTTGCCACTCTCCCTGTCACCCTTTCATAGCAAAGAATAAATTCCTTTGAAAGGGTTGTTAGACCCAAAAAGTGGCCTGCTGATATCTTGAGAGAATAAATACTTCTGTTTTGCTTTGTTCACTTCCAGGAACTCCTTCAACAGATTGAGCCTGCGAAAGATTGAAGCCTAGGAAGGGTACCCCCCTCTAAAATGGGCCATCAGAATCCTTTGTAAGGATGAGCGGCTGACCTGGAGTTTCACCTGGAGTTTCAGCCCTTCTGGAAGACATGCTGCTTGCTCTTGCCTGAGACTGAAGAATCCCCTCCTAGAGTGTCTTCAGAACATGGAGCCAGTCTGTCACTCCAACAGTTGCAAGGAGAGCGTCTATGTGGCAAAGTGCTGGGAATGGTCTGGATCGCACATTTTGCCTGGGTGAGGGCTGTGCTCCATCCTCAGGAAACTTTTCAGTTGCAGCGTTGTGGATCAAAGATTCCATTTGAGACCTCCTTCAGACCTTCTTCCCAGCTGAACTGAAGATTTGCTTCGTGCACTTGGGCCTCAGAGCAGCTGGATTTGAAATACCGGCTCTGTGTGTAGTTGGAAGCTTACTCATTGTGGATTCTGTGTCCTCTTCTCTTTAACAGCTAGGGTCATTGTGGAAACTTGAGTTACCCCTTGCTCTTTGTTTAACCCCCCCTTTTGGCTACCAGCTCTTTGCCATGAACAAGAATGACTGGCCTACATTCTGGGGCACTCCTAACTCAGGGAAGAAGGCAGTGGTATCTGGGAGAAAGAGGGCTGGAACCTAGGACAGCCAGATCCTATTCCTGGCTTTGAGGGGTGATCAGGTCCTTCTGTTTAGAGCTTGATCTGCCTCCTTAGAGCTTGGGCTGAACCCCCAGTGTTCTGACCCCTGCCACCTCTTTTCTTCCCTCCACTCTCTTCCCAAGGGATCCTGGCACTTGGTTTTATGCAGCTGGTTGCCAAGTAATGGCTTCTTGCCAACTGCCTTCTGGATTGCTCAATATTTGCAGCCTGGACTTTCTATTTCACATGCCACCGGCCAAGCCTTTTCCAATGCAGAGCTGTATTCACACACACTCTTAATTGCAGTAGTGCCTTCTAGAGCACAGTGAAGGGTGCAGAATGGAGGGTTCTGTGTGCATTTGTCTCTTAAGAAGATGGGGGGGGGCAGTGAGTGTTCCTTTCCTTATCTTAACATCAGGCAAGTAATGGAAAGAAGCTTCTTTCTGCAGGCAAGGGTCAAATCCAGGCTTTTCTTCACTCCCGTGCTTCACCTGCAGGAGGCCCTCTCTACATGAGCAGAGTGTAGTATTGGGAAGAAATTGCAGCATCCCATTTCCTTCATTGGGAATGATTTGCAGATGGAGAACAGGAGCAGAATCACTGGTAGAGGTGGGCAGGCTGGTTGCTCCAGGGAGGGCACATTCCCCCCCCCACCCCACCCCATTGCCTGTTTCTTCAAAATGGATGGGATTCATGCAGACTGTCTGAACTGCCTTGATTTGGGCTGAGTGCTGTTGTCTTTGTCCAGTTTTACATTACTCTCTGCTTTAAACAAGCTGAACTAAACCAGACAAGGGGGGGGCTCTTTATTATTTCTTTTCCCACTTTCTCTTGCATCACTACCCAATGACTGAAGGTTTCTGCTTCTGCCTAACAGTAGGAAAAAGGGTCCAGTTGCCTACCTACAGCCAAAGCTACCCCTGTGTGGATCCAAAACATACCATCTCTCCTCTGGATCAGAGTTCCATGTTTCTTACCTTTTACAAGGTCAGATAATCCTGATGGGTTGTATGCAACCATTGTGCCATGACCAAGTGTTCGGTGGGTAGCCAAGCCTTGATTTCTGCCTGCCTTCTCAGTGAAGGTGGTTGTAAACTTGTTATTTATAATGCAGCTTTTAAAAACATGCAAAGATACTGGTTCTCATCTTTTCAGTTAGTAGTAGAGAAGACTTACTTGTTTGCATTTGGAGTACCTAGGAATCTACACATGCTTATGTGATAAACACAAACTAACCCAAGAGCCTGGTGAATCGTGAGAACCTGAGTTCCATTTTTGAAAAGATCAGGTTTCCGATCCTCATTGCTATGAACAAAAACTAGAGAACGTGGGCAGATCTTTCTTAACACATATGGGGCGCACTTGGGAAAGTGCAGCTGTTGTCTCCCAGTCCCTGTTCCTTCTCTGTTGGAATGCTCATATCTCCTCTTTCACCTCCACTTAGCCACCACAGCTCCACTTTCCCTAGCAATTATTTCTTTGTTAGATTTCTGTTCCGCCTAATAGCAGAAGATCTCTGGGCCGTTTGCAAATGTTAAAAACATGCCATACAGCAACACGATATAACGTAATATAAAACGGTTAAAACTACCATAAAAAAGCAAAGCTCCACAGTAGTGTAAAGCATGGGCAAAAGCTGTCAACCCTAAAAATGCTTCCAAACTTTGAGCAAGTGCGCCCTCTCAATTTAAGCAATCCATATTTTCCACATGCAGATTCTGACTTTGCTTCTGTCACAGCCTGCAGTCCGCTCAGCGCCTGTTTTTCATAATCCCCAGTGCTGCCATGGCAAAGGTGGGTGGGCCTGATCTCTGGCGTCACTCCACCAGTGGGTGGGAGGAAGGGAGGAGGAATTCTAAGAAAGGGAGGTGATGGTGATGGTGAAGCAGTAAGTTGGGCAAGAGGGAAAGTAGGGGCAGGCGTTGTGTTGTGCAGAGCTCTCCCAGTGCCATCTGGCAGGCCTGTTTCAGATGCCCAGAAACAGAAAAAGGGGGCCAGATAAGCGGAATAGGAGGCCCAGAGTAGGAGAGCTGGCCTGTACTGTAGACAAGGCATTCTAGCAGCTCTCTTCGCCGGGTGGGTTGGCAGACCACCTGGCCCATGGAAAGGGGTGGGGGGCAGATACTGGGGGCTGGGCAAGATTGTGTCAAACTGATGCAGTGGAAGAAGGTGTGTGTGACTGGCAAAAAGACCAGACTTACATGAGATCTCAAAGGAGGCTGGTGCCTCTCATAGAAACCTGCACAGAGCAGAAGTGAGAGAAGCTCTTTTCTCTGAAGCTCATGTGCAGTGTGGACACTAATCTCTGAAGGCCTTCAGGTCAGTTGTGTCTCTTTTTAAAGGAGGGGCCCCTGTAGGCCTGTCCCAAGTGGCTAGTTCATGATCAGGAATGCATGGAGTTTGTGCCAAGCATCAGAGAGCCTTTTCTTTTTGCATAAACATTTGTGCATTTCCTTGGAAATACACATTGGTCTCCCATTGATTTTTGTGGGCATTTTTTCAAAACTATGTGTATGCATTTTTCGAACAATTATATATTAACTCTTCTCCCTGTTCAAGATGTTTCTCTTCATTCCAAGAAAATCTCAAGCTGATAAGATGCTATCTCACCCTAGAAATGGGGCAGGGGGAAAGAGGAGGTAGGCATAGTGCCTCTCCTTTTGGAACTGTAATCCATGAAAAGGTGAAGGGAACTTGGTAGCTGCAGGAATGTGGAAGGAGATACTGTGAGGCCGTATGCATGCCAAGTCTCAGCAGTGATTGTGGGGCGGAGTAGTAGTTACAAGCCCTGTTGTGGTCGTGAAGAGATGTTCAGCTCTAGGGAAGGGATCCTGGGAGATAAAAGTCGTAGTTGCTATTGCTGGCCCAAAGCATTTAATAGAAACCCCATGACTTTGAAATGTTTACAGCAAGGGCATAAAAGAGTGTCTTGTGCTTGTCTGATTATCTTAGCAGAAACAGTGAAGGGAGGGCTCTGCTGGAGCAGCCCAGAATAGAATGGTCTGTTTCAGTTTGCACACAACCTGCCTTAGATTTATGCCCAAATTATACCCATCACAGCACTGCAGAAACACTAGCAGCAGTGCCTTGCTACTGTGTAGAGGAGATTGCTGGCAGCAATGCAAGCATCCCATGTCAAGGCCCCCTGGCCTCGCAGGCAGAAATGTATATCTACAGTGAGGCCCTTTTAGGGAGAATAGGAGTTCGTATTAAAATTTGGCAATTTGCCGGGGAAGTAATTACTTGAGGAGGCAGAGGAGCATAATCCACCCCCCTTTGAGGAGGTGGCCCCCACCTGTGCAGTCTTCCTTCAGTAGTGCATCTGTGGTCCACCCTGAAACTTGGCCCACCCAGGGAACGATGAAAGGACTTGGTGCTGCCTGCAGAGAAAGAACCCATGTGGGAAGTGCACTTCCACATTGCTTTTCTGTGGTCTGAGAAGAAGCGCTTCCTCCCACTGAACAGCGTATCATTGGAGCTTCCCAACTCACAGGCCTCCAGCAGTATCCAATTGCTGCTTTTCCAGTGCAAGCTACAATTTATTATAATTTTCCATGCATTGAAGGAGTGCAGCATTTTGTATTTGACATCTTGTTACACTTCTTGTACACTAATGCAGGGATGTGCAACACATGATCACTGTGTGGTTGAGTGCAGTGGCAGCAAAACCAGTTGGCAATTTTAATGTTAGAGGACCAGACAGATCCTGCTTTGGGCTCCTATGTATCCTGTAGAGGGTCACAGACAAATTTCTGTAGGAGACGGATCTTTACCTGGAGTTCAGGCTACAGAGGGCTGCTGGGGGCAGTTACGGCTATTGGACCACCCATAGTTGTCTGCACCCTCACTATTTGGTATTTTTATTTATATATTTGTTGCATTTATGTTTCATGGTTCTTCCATGTACATGGCCTTCCATTTCATCATCATGACTCTGAAGGACAGTGGCTGGCCTAAAGTCATTCAGGGAGCTACATAACAAAGCAGGAACTAGAACTCAAGTCTCTTCAGTGCAAATCTAACACTAAGCCGAGCATACTAGCTCTCCGTGAATGACATTGTCGTATGGGCAGGGAATGGACACTTACTTGAACATATTTAAATCAAGTTCACAAAAGTGTGTATTTAGGCACTCTTCAGGTGGGAAAGCATAGAAATACAAGGAGTGGAGGGCACAAGGTTGGGGGAAACTAAAACAGTGCATAAACTTATTGATTTACACTAAAATGCTATTTTTTCATTTAAGTGCTGTTCTTTGCATATTGGAATATTTGTTTCAAATACACAGACACATAAATGTTTTAATGCAACATTTGAAAAATAAACTTTAAAAAATGCACTTTTGATTGGAAAAAGTACAGAGAAGGACAACAAAAATTATTGTGGGGGTGAAGCAACTCACTTATGAGAAACAGCTACAGCAACTGAAACAGTTTAGCTCAGAAAAAAAGCAAGCAAGGGGAGACATGATAGAGGTGTTCAAAATAATGCATGGTATGGAGAAAGTGGAGAGGGAGACATTTTTCTCCCCATAAAACTCGAACCCAGGGTCATCCTATGAAGCTGATTGGTGGGAGGTTTAGGACAGATCAAAGCAAGTACTTCTTCATACAGCATACAGTTAAACTATGGAATTTGCTGCTGTGGCAGGTGGTGATGGCCACCAATCTGGATGGCTTTAAAAGTGGATTGGACAGACTCCCAAGGGAGGAACGTATCAGTGGCTACTAGGCTTGCTGCCTGGCTGCTGCCTCCTTCACCAGAGGTGGCATGCCTGCATGCACCACTTGCTGAGGAGCTTGGGCAGGCAGGGGGAGACCTTGTGCTCATCCTGTGGGCAGCCGATTTGCCTCCTGTATGGAGTGTGGGACTAGATGGACCTTTGGTCTGACCAGCATGGCTTTTGTAGTAGTGCAAGTGAACTGAAGGCCAGGTGGATGAGGATAGTTTCCCCCACCCAATGCATCACTGCACAAGTCACAGCCACACCTCTTTTAAAAGATGGAATAGTAATGATAAACCTTCAGTGAGATTGCGCCACTGTTCTCTCCTTTCCCCAAATGCTGGCTTTCCTGTGATCTCAGAGAAGACAGAAGTAGCACAGGGAAAACAGAGGAGAACAATGAATTGATGGGACAAATTTGTTGTTTCCAGACAAGTGTGTTGTGGCACTGTTGCCCTGCCTCATTTGCAGAATGCTGTAGGGGTGCCATTCAGTCTTCAGTCATGAGACACCTGTGCTTTCCCACCTCTTTTTTTCATCTGTTTGATTACCACAGTCAATTAGCTGAGGAAGAGAAGACTGTCAAGGCTGCTCAAAGCCTTTTTGTGGCTGGCTCTGGGAGCCGCCTCCACCTGGAAACACCCAAAAGGACATGGAAAGATGTCCCTTTAGCTCAGTCTATGTCAATAGTGGGCAAGCCTTCTTGGATTACCATGCCCATTGTCTCTTATCATTGGCCATGCCAGGGATTAAACATGGCTCTTCTGCACTCAAAACATGTGCTTCCCATGAAGGCACAGCCATCTTACCCTGCCTCATCGAATGCCTGGGAGCCAAGTGTGAGAAGTTCCCATTTCCTGTTGGTTGATGAAATGACTGGCTTTGTTCAGCGAGGCAAGGAGCTAAGCAAGCTGGTGATGAGATGGGCACGCTTGGGAAAGGATTCCCAGCAAGGTAGGCTTCCTCTCTCCCTGGCACTGGTACCTGCACAGCTGCTCTCCCTGCACCAGGCTGTGGGGGGAGGGGGGAGTGGCCCCAGCAGCATGTGCGGATCTGGCAGACTTCCTTGGTTGTTATGCTGGAGTCTCTACACCAAGGGTAGGAACACCCTGCTCTTTAGGGTCTTGGCTCCTATCAGTCTCCAGCCAGCCTGGTCAGTGGCCATAGATGATGGGAGTTATAGTCTAAACAATCCCAAGGCCCTCAGGGAAGGCTGATATCTGAGTGAATTGCAATAGATCTGGAAAAACTTCCAAGCCCAGGAGCACTGAACATGATGACAACAAAACACATTTTCCCCTCCCAGAAAAGAAGCTTGGGGAAAGACAATAGATTGCCAGGAGTGCAGGAAGTGAGGGGACCTCCAGTCAGGTGTTGAAAATACATTTCCAGCAGAGGTGTTTTCTGCAGATTCATGTCTATCTTCCTGAGCTGCACTTGACAAAGTCAATCCCACAAGCCCAAGGTCTGTTCATTCCTGCTTTAACATACAGGGAACTGAGGAACAGGGTGCCTTGATCCTTCTTTGTAAGTATGTGTTGGTCTTTTCTGGCTTTTAAATGCCCTTCTCTGTTCAATTTTAAGATATAAATGCACCGAACAAGTCCAATAATTGAGTATTTAGGGGCCTCAATGTTCTTTAGTTCAATGCACACACACATGGAATTTGCCCCACACTGGAACTTTGGGGCAAATGGAAGATTGCAATGCTAGTGTGGGGCTTTACACCTGCTGTCAGATCTGTGACCAGAATAGAAGGCAAACAATTTATAAGACCTTACTTTGCATGCTTGTGCACCAGTTAAGATCTGGACCCCATCTGCAATTTTCTTCTATTAACTGCTGGATGACATCTAGTTTCACACATCGACCCAAAAGAAAATATAGGGTTTCCAATTGCTTGTTTCATGGCCATCTAGTCATCTCCAACTCATGGTGACCCTCCAAAATGTCCTGTCTTTGACAGTTTTGACAGCCCTGCTCAAGTCTCATAAACTCAAGGCTGTGGCTTCCTTGATGGATTCAATCCATCTCATAGCTGTTCATCCTGAAGTATGACAGCTGAATGTTCTGGCTTGTTTTGATCCAGAACCCTTTTGTTCATCTTTCCTTTGGTTTAGGGTATTCACAAATTTCTTCTCCAGTGTCATGTTTCAAACACGTCAGTTTGCTTCCTGTCAGCTTTCTTCAGTGTCCAGCTTTCACACCCCTACGTAGTGATTGGGAATGCATCAGTGTAAATGCTCTTAGCCTTGGTCTCCTGTGGAATATCCTTCCACTTTTCTAGTTCCGTCATTGCTACCCTTCCAAGTCTCAGCCATCTTCTAATTTCCTGGCAGCAGTCTCTGAATTGATGACTGAGCCGAGGTATGCACAATCCTTAACAAGTTTAAATTCTTAATTGTTGACAGTCAAGTTCCGTAAAGTCTTCAATAGTCATGATTTTTGTTTTCTTAATGTTCAGCTGTACCCCCACTTTTTTCACTATCATCAGGAGTCATTTCAATTCATTGCTGCTTTCTGCCAGTAATATGGCCTCATCTTCATTATCTTAAATTAATATGTCTTCTGCTAATTTTCACTCCTTCCTTCACATTTATTCCAGCTTTCTTTATGATGTGTTCTATGTACAAACTGAATGGATAAGGAGATAAAATTCATCCTTGTCTGACGTCTTTGCCTATAGGAAGCCATTCTGTTTCTCCACATTCTGTCGTAACAGTTGCCTCTTGTGCATGACACAGTTTACACATCAGGACAATCAAATGCTGAGGTACCCCCATGTCTTTCAGGACCACCCATAGGGTCTCATGATCCACATTGACAAAGGCTTTGCTGTAGTCTGTGAAGCATAGGCTGATCTTTTTCTGAAATTCTTTGCTGTGCTCCAGTAGCCAACATATATTTGTGATATGATCTTCGAGAACTTATTTTTCAGAATCTAGCCTGAACAACAGAAACTTTTCATTCCATATGGGGTAATGTTCTTTATTGCAACACCTTGAAAATCACTCTGCTTGCCTGGGAAATCTGTGCAATAGTCTTGCAGTTGCTGCACTCTTTTGCATCTCCTTTGTGGGGATTGAAATGTATATTGACATTTCCAGTCTGTGGGCCATTGTTTTGTTTTCCAGATTTATTGCCATATACTTAAGATTTCAACTGATTCAGTTGCTGCAGCTTGGAGCAGTTCCATTGGTATCTTATCTACTCTATTGGTATCTACTCTATCTTATCTATAAAGGTGTTTTATTCCTTCTAAGTGCTTTCAAAGCAGCTTTCACTTAACTCTCTAATATTGCAGGCTCTTCCTTATAAGATTCTTCTTTGAAAGAGTCTGCCATCCTTTCACCTCTTCTGTATAGTTCCTTCATATATTGTTTAAACCTTCTCTTTATTTTTTTTTTCCTGGTCAGATAAAATGTTCCTCTGTGGCTCTTTCTGAATCCATGTCTGAATTTCCCTTTGATGTTATGGTTCCCCTTGGAAGGGATCTCTTGTTTTTCCTCTTTTGCCATTCTCTTCTATTTCCATGCACTAATTGTTGTAACACATCTTTATATCACTGTGTGATAGTCACTGAAAAGTTGCAGTCAAGATTTTGACCCTATTTCTGTCATCTTTTGCTTTTGCTTCTGTCCTGTCCCTGCCAATTAAAGTGTTTCTTCTGTCATCATCTAGGCTTTTTCTTTCAGAACCATTCTGTTTGCTATAAGAATTGTTTTTTTGCATTCTTCATTGGTGTCAGTCCACACTTCTTGTTTCACAGTCGGTTGCAAATCTCTTTTTCTGTGGATTTTAAATTCCTCAACAATGTTATTGAAGTTGTATTTTAACACTATGCTTTTGTTAGCAATCTTGTTCAGCTATATTCTGATTTTCAACATTAATAGTTCATGGTCGTTACCACATTCCGCTTGCTCCTGCTCTCATTTTGGGAGCAAGAACAGAGCTTCTGCATCTGTTGATAACAATTACATAATACATTTGGTTCCTCTACTCGCCATCTGATGGTGTACATTTGTACAGTTCTCTGATGGGTTGCCTGAATTATGTATTTGCAACATAGAGGTTCACAGAATTATATAACATAGACTTCACAGAATTCCATGAGCCATTTTCCTGCTTCCTTTCTGAACCTTGGGCAAAGTTCTCCCACCATATTGGATTCTGCTATGTTTCTTTCTTTTGTGTTCCCGCAACCCATGATTATCAGTATGTCTTGCTTTGGTGTATTACCAATTTCCTCTTGGATGCTTGTGTAAAAGTGTTCAGTTTCTCCAACACCTGTTGTTGGTGCATAGACTTGAATGATGCTTATGTCGATAGACTTTCCACAAATTCCGACTGGCATGATTCGAATGGACTTCAAATAGCATTTTAACTTCATACTGCCTGTGCTACATCTTGCCTTAGTATTAGAGTTGCTCCATTTCCTCCCAGTTTGTCATTTCCAGCATAGGACACTTTGTATTTGTCTGACTGAAAATACCCTATTCCGGTCCACTTCAGTTCGCTCACACCCAATACTGTGATGTTTAAACTAGTTTGCTTTGTCTCTTATTTCCCACATCTCATGTTCCAATTGCATGTGTGGTGCAGCATTTGTGCATGTC